CTTGGTAGTAATATAGATGGGATTCCTGATCATCCTCAGACTAGGGAGCATACAAGGGAGAGAAACAGCATAATAAAACAGAGGGATACAATTATACATAGTGGGGGCAATAATTTAGCAAGAATACTATCATTCTATCATTCTCACAGCTGAAAGGAGGAGGTTCCTGCAATAGTAAGGTCTGAGTACATGTATAAAGGTGGCGTTGCACACAGGTTTGCTTTTACAGTGGTACCTCGCAAGACGAATGCCTCGCAAGACGGAAAACTCGCTAGACGAAAGGGTTTTTTGTCTTTTGAGCTGCTTCGCAAGACGATTTCCCCTATGGGCTTGCTTCGCAAGACGGAAACGTCTTACAGTTGTTTCTTTTTCTTAAACCGTTATACGTTGGACTGACTTGAGGACAACTCATAGCACGCGGTGTGGTAGCCTTTTTGAGGTTGAGACTTGGTGGAGCTTCCATTCGACCCGATATTGCTCAAAACCACTTCAACGTGAAGCAGTTGCTTTTTAAGACACACCACCATCCTCAGGAAGGGTAAAAATGGTGAACATTTCCCTTGCACATTTAAGGATAACTATAACGACAAACTGTGATCTTAGAACCGTGGAACAACACCAGTGCTCAGAAGTTAGGACTTTGCCTACTATTAGAATGAAATTAATTATGGAATTGATGGAAGGGAGGGCAATGAGATAAAAACGTCCTAGGAAAATAACTGCAAGGAGTGGCTCTCTCTCTCTTGAGTGATTGGCACCAAAGAGAAAGTAGACTAAGTAGCAGTTATTACGGTGCCAGTACATCATGAATGGCCACGGCCAAAAAAGAATGAAACACAAGCCTTTTAAGTGAAATGAGAAGCCAGAAAAATCTTAATCAATGAACTCATTATTTCCTGCTGGCCTTGGTCCAGTTCTAGCTATACATAGTTGCATAATACTACATGGAATGGCAATAGCTGGGCTGCAAACCTCTAGTGGAAGAATTGCAGAACAAGCTATAACACTGGGGCTAGATAAGGTACAGATGGAACAATTAAACATGTACAGAAATTAATTGTGACCACAGGAGACTCAAAATGCAACTATGTGATAGTGATCCTTGTAGTCAAGTAAATCTACCCTTCTCTGCAGATGCATTAGTAGTATCTTTTGTACTCTTAAATGAACTGAAAAAGGAAACAGGAGCCTAAAGCAGACTTAACAGTATCAGTAAACAAGTATTCTTGTATCAGTAAACAACTTTGCTATCAGTAGCAAAATGGTGATGGAGATAGCTTATTCATTATTTACTGCTTTTAGGAAGAAAAAAAGACTAAATTTTACAAGCATGGTTTTCTTATAGGAGAAAATCTCAGCTTGAGCATCCTAGAAAGCAATATTGTTAAAACTCAGCAAAGTTATTAAAATGGGATCATGTTACTCTGTCTTCTGTAATAAAAGCAGCTGCCTCAAGCCAGTAGGAAATATCCAGGCAAAGGACTAATGTATACTTGGATCACAATGTTATCAGGCCCCCACTAAACTGCCTGTTTACAACAATGTACAATTAGAGTTTGATCAGGGCCAAATGTGAACAAATGTTGGGGCTTGTATCTTCTACCACAGCCTGCCTGTTGAATCTCTGCCTTAGTCCTCCATATACAGAATGAGAATGAGAGTGAACTACAGAGTTGTGAAGGTAAGTAAAAAGTGTGTATATGTGGATGCAAACGTTTGAAGTAGTACCACCATATGAAAGGTAAAGTACCCTCCGGTATGGCCCAGTCTTGCCAGACTCTGGGGTTGTGGCGCCATCTCACTTAAAGAGGCCGGGGGCCCAGCGGCTGTCCGGAGACCACTTCCGGGTCACGTGGCCAGCGTGACAAGCTGCATCTGGCGAGCCAGAGCCGCCACACGGAAACGCCGTTTTACCTTCCCGCTAGGAAAGCGGTCCCTATTTAATCTACTTGCACCTGGGGGTGCCTTTCGAACTGCTAGGTTGGCAGGCGCTGGGACCGAGACAACGGGAGCGCATCCCCCGCCGCGGGATTCGAACCGCAGACCTTCGATCGGCCAAGCCCTAGGCGCTGGAGGCTTTTACCCACAGCGCCCACCGCGTCCCATATTACTTTCAAATAAAAGTGGTACCTCGGGTTAAGTACTTAATTCGTTCCGGAGGTCCTTCTAACCTGAAGCACCACTTTAGGTAATGGGGCCTCCTGCTGTCGCTGCGCTGCCGGAGGCCCAATTTCTGTTCTTATCCTGAAGCAAAGTTCTTAACCTGAAACACTATTTCTGGGTTAGCGGAGTCTGTAACCTGAAGCGTATGTAACCCGAGGTACCACTGTACATTAAATTATGGCTGTATGCCTGCTAATACTCCGAACCACAGAGATCACGAAGAGACTGAAAAGATCAAACATGCAATGAATCCTATCTTCCACTACAGCTATACACACTGCACTAGTAAATGTACCATTTGCAATCACAGACCAGGAGCAGCACCAATGCAGACCCAGCCTCTCAGCAGCAGCATTTCTGCCACATACTGGGACAGTGATGAGGCATTTCCACAGGTGCACCTACACTGCACTGCCCTTGCTACCATCCTGCTCTGGCATACAGCCACAATGCTGCTGCTGGGAGGCCAGGTACACGTCATTGTCCTTCACTGTCAGCAGCTGCTGCTACAAACAATGTTCACAGTGCAGTACTAAGTTGTTGAGAATCAGCCGATAATAGGTTGTATCTAACTAGCTCATACTCAGAGCTGACCCGCTGAAATCAATGAACTTAATAGTTGCCTGTGACTAACCTGAGTCCAATGATTTCACTGGGTCTACTTCTGATTATGTCTTAGTTGAACACAACTTCAGAGGTTAAAGTGATTTCTTGTGTGCAGAACACAGCAGTATGAAAAAATTAAGTCCCAGAAATTAAACCTAAAAGTGGGAGAGGGGGAATGGAGAATCCACAAGCACATTCATGTACAGCAGACACCCCCCACCCTTAAGTATCATCTTAGGCTTAAGTCTAAGTTGCCTACACTTAGGATGAGAATTGTGGTGCATTACTTCCCAAGAAGCCAACAATGGAAAAAATGCACTCTTAGAACCATTCATTTAATGCACATACAAGGAGCCATATATTTTTGTGAATCAATATGCATAAGTACGCATAGCCATCACAACTGGTAATAGATAATGGTGCATTCCTATGCACACTAATTCAAGAGTAACTCCTTCTGAACTCAGTGGGATTTACTTCTGAGGAAATATGCATGAGATTGGGTTATTAGTGCAACAGGTAAAATGAACAAGCAGCAATGTCTATTAAAAAGACGTAAAAATAAAAAAATAAAGTAAAAAGTGCAGCTAACAATTGTAGATTAGTCCACAAAATTAGAAACAAATACCACCTATAGAACAATTCACTGCTGGACATTTTGCAAATGTTTGAACGACACAGAAAAACAAAAGTTTCAACAGAGCCATTCAAAAACAACAGAGTTGAAGGTATATAAAAGCTGAGTGGAGTGTTTGCAATGTTAAGTATAAGCAACAAACTGTGACCTTGCTTACTAGAAACTATATATATTCCTCAGCACTTTGAAAAAAGCAAAACATTGCTTTCTCTCTGCATCTATTAGAAGTTTGCTCAATTTATTAACACCAGATGCAATACCACAATGCTAAAAAATAAACATGCACTAGATATACAACAAATTTATAATTTCAGAAAATCTGTTCCTTACAGTTAGCGAATACATGAGACCTTGGGTAAAATCCAGTGCTGCCATTTTACTCATGAAATCACCTTTGATCCACAGGAGGCATCTGCCGATGTAAGAAGGGGCGGGGATTCCCTTTCCTGCTGCACCCTCCTGTATGCCCCCTCCCCCAAGAAAAATGTTTCAGAGGGTTGAGACGCTGTACAGAACAGCATGGAAGGTGGTGATGGGCTGCAACAGGGAGGGGGATTATCCCTCCTCCTATTGCATCAGTGGATGCTTCCACTGGATCTATGTGAGCAGCACAGCACTACTGAATTTCACCCCTTTTCTTCACCTTTAAGTGCATTACCATGTGAAACAGGTAAAAAAGAATGAAGAATATTGATCTCAATGCTGTTCAGCACCAATAAAAATTCAATAGACCTTTAACATTCCTGTATATTAAAAACATTTATCAGTATCACTAAAGTTTATCATTTTGTTCTGTTTCAAGATGCAACTGATTTCTATTTACAGCAGTTTGTTATCAATAAAACTTAATATTTAAAAATCTATATTCATAAAAGTATTGCAGAAATTTATAACCTTTGCTTTTTAAAAATGTACATACAAGGAAGTCCCGTGTAAAAGGTTCACTGAAGAACTGAACCGACAGAAGAACAATTTTATTAAACTTTGCAAAACTCCATTTGAAGGCAGCTCACATTTCAACATTCAAAAATCCTTAATTGCTGCTTGCTTATGAAAACTAAAGTTCCAGTAGTAAAGGTGAAAATGTAAACCATCATGCTATTGAGATCAGTAGAAAATGTAGTTTCTACAGGCATAGCATGTTCAGTAATGATTCTGTAGAAAACAGTTAGAATGTAGTGATATAACAAACAGGCGACTCAAGAGTGGTCTTGAACAGACCTACAGTTATTGTAGCTATTTTAGCAGCCAACAGTTGCTTTTTCCAGTTCAGCTTTCTCCAATCCCAAACAGGACAACCAAATTTAATACCTTCTTAGACTTGTTAAAATTTGGACTTGGTTTGGCATCCAAAGACTCATAAAAACATTGACCTTTTGCAGTCTAAGAACCTGTAAGTCCACCAACTTTACACACTGTGCTTAAATTTCAGTTCTGAAATAATTAGGTACCCAAAATAAGAAAAATAGAAAAAAGTAGAAATGAACATTAAAAAAAAAAATTGCACAGCCACATTACCTAGAAAGTAAAGTTGATGTTAAAAAAGCTCCTCACATGGACGATATAAATTACCTTCCATATAAAAAAGTATAAATATCTCTTAAAATGCAGCAGCAGCTACAGTTTAATATCACACATTATTTGATTCATCTGTTAATGAGGTAATAGCCAAGTCTGTGACAATGTGTTTATTCCTACTGGAAGTATTTTAGGGCAGCAACAAGAAAAAACTTTTCTAAAAATATGTCCGAGTCCAGAACAGCAATGTGTGCAGCTCTTCCAATGAGGGAATCGGCTGTGTTTGGCAATGCACAATGCACATTATAACGAACCAAATTGCATTCCTTGTTTTGAAGAACAGGCAGAAGCAGATTCTGGATCATTTCAGCATATATTGGTCCTGTATATTTAAAAATAAAAAGTTGCATTATTGATTTATTCTGCTGAAACCTTCATATTCCTGCTTCCTATCAAACAACCCTCAGAATGTCTAACAGCAATAATTAAAAAACTTCAGCGTAAAACAATCCATGAACACAAAACCTCAGCCACCCAGAACAAACCCTCCTCCCAGCAAATCAACAGGTGTTATTTTAGTATTTCAAAATTGTAAACCACCTTGTCAAAGCCAGTATATGCATGCAACAAATGAACAAAAAAAATCCAGTGAGTTTAGCCCAAAGGCCTGCTTAAAAATCCAAGTTTTGGCTATCTTACACAATTGTGAGCAACAGGTGGGCCAACTGGCCCTTTAGGGAGGGCATTCCACAAAGCAGCCTTTACTCGAATCCAGTGTCCTCCAGATGTTTTTGGACTTCCCATCATCCCTGGACACTGGTCAAACTGGCTGATGATGATGGGACTTGCAGTCCAAAACATTTGGGGGGACCAGCTGGGAAAGGATGCCACCGTTAAAAAAAGTCATGTGCCTACACCTGACATACTTCAGTATTACATTTCTACACCACTTTTATCTTCCAAAGATCTCAAGGTGGTATACATTGTTCTCCGCACAACAATCCTGTGAGGCAGGGTAGACTTAGAGATGGTGACTGGCCCGAGGTCACCCAGTGAATTTCATGGCTGAATGGGGATTCAAACCCTGCTCTCCCAGGTCCTAGTCCAACACTCTAACCATTACGCCACAATGGCTTATACAGTGGTACCTCAGGTTACAGACGCTTCAGGTTACAGACTCCGCTAACCCAGAAATAGTACCTCGGGTTAAGAACTTTGCTTCAGGATGAGAACAGAAATCATGCAGCAATGGCGCAGCAGCAGCGGGAGGGCCCATTAGCTAAAGTGGTGCTTCAGGTTAAGAACAGTTTCAGGTTAAGAACAGACCTCCAGAAAAAATTAAGTTCTTAACCCGAGGTACCACTGTATAATGGAAAGACAAGCAGCAGGGCTTTTAAGCTGAACAAACCACACAAACTGAGTCATGTAGGAATAGGAATATTCTCTTCAATGTTGTCTAAGGAATAAATGCCAAATTGCTTCACAGATGTCTATGCACTGGCCATTACCTGTCTGTTTATCCTTCAAAGCTGTTTTACACATCTCAATACGAGCAGAATGATAAGGGACATAACGATCTTGTAGAGATCCTACTAATACTATGTTTTTGAAATACTGCAGACCTGGGGGAAGACAAAAAAAAAAGGTAAATCTAAAGCAAGATACAATATAACTAACACATACAGTTTTCATTCCAAAATGTATGTAAAGTAGCACTGAGCTTCCTGGGGGGGGGGGGGTACAACATAAAACAGGTGTTATATGTAAACGAACTTTCTTCTACTTGAGATTCCAAGCTTTCTATCAGTGCCATAAATTACTGCATTAAAGGACTGGTCTCACACCTCATTATTAGAAGACATAGGCAAACTTTAGAACACCTGCTTTAATTGAAAATCAGTGACTGCATAGGTGCAAGAAAAAAGCATTTTTATGGTCATGACTATCCAAGTTGTTTCAAGTTATCACATTAATGTATAATTCAAAGTACATTACTAATTAAAAGCAACAAAATATTCTTAAAGATTTCGATATTGCTTACCTGCCTTTTTACTAAGTTTGTACAAGAAAGTTTGCCGGGGGTCTGAATGATCTCGACAGGTCAACTGCAATAAAGACCCTGACTTTTTCCACTTCTGCATAAACCAGAGACCTGTATTTTTATATACAGTACTTGTGAGTATATACTGCAGAATCATAACAATATTACTCAAATACTTAATGTGATATGTTACTGGTAACCTAGCCCCCAATTTATGTTCATTCCATACATCATCACAAGGATGTTCTATGCATTTCACAATTCACATCCTTTTAATGTGTTATCAGTATACACAGCAGTCCACTGGAAGAATTAGCTGAAAGGTGCTAAAGGAATTTCATAAACAGAAACATACATACATACAAAAATTCCTGCATTGGACCTGCAGGATTATTTTGGTTCCCTTATATATCTCAAAATATTCAGTTTGTTGACCTTAGGGTTGTTTATTGTTCAACACTTCTAAAAATATTTTAGAATATTTATAAAGTGAGGCATATCTATAAGAGAATTTACTATGCAGGGTTTAAAATGCAAAATGCAAATATTCACACTTCTGATCATTTGGAGAAAGGAGTGTCTGTGTGTGTGTGTGTGTGTGTGTGTGGATATATATATATATATATATATATATATGCTTTCGTAGATTTATATGCTTTATATATATGCTATATATGCTATATATATGCTTTCGTAGATATATGCGCGCATGCACAACCCTTCTCATATTCATGAGAAGACCTGTTTTAAGAAAAGAAAGCAAGGAGCCTTATATCTACCCTTTCCATCAATATACAGAAGGGAAGGCCATCTATCATTTTTTAATCCTGGCTGCTCTATCTAGATACAGATTCTCTACCCATATACGCTGAACAGTCTTGCTTATGTAGAGTTGGCATTTCAATTACAGAAAGGAAATTTTGATTGGCATGTCAGAACACTAATTTATTAACATTTCATTTTTGGACTGAAATAGTTCTCTGGGCTAAAGAGCTCCATTTAAGAACTTTAATTTCTGAAATTAACAATGCCTGCTTATCCAGTAAGATTCTTGTTCTTATACCCTGTAGATCACCAATGAATGCCAACCGCTAAATTTATACCAAGAGCTTAAATTTAAAACTTCTCGGAAAATTATCTGCCAAGCTCTTTTTTAAAATCCCAAACATCCAGGTGCTTGTAGAAGATGCCTTTCACCCTGTCTTCCCCATTCATTTCCATGAGAGAGAGAGAGAGGGGCAGGCATAACATATGTACTCACACAAACATCCATTGAACTTTCAACATGAAACAAACTATTTTACCTGTATTAACAAGAGCACTGCTGTTGTAGAGTGTACCAAGATGTGGTCCAGACAGAGACAGGAAGGTGTAAAGTTTGCTGAGGTAAAATCTAAACCTAGGTCTTGTGAGCACTGAACGGATTATTAGGTTACCCAATGAATGCCCAATAAAACTGTAGAAGACAGGAAGGGGGGCGGGGAGAGAGAAAGTGATTTATTTATTTTTAAGTTTGCAAATGAAAACTGGTGCAAACAATGACCTATAAACAGCAACAAATAATACACATTTCCTGCAGATGCCTCTAAATTGGTGGTAAGGAGAATCCAGCCTGCAGGCCTTATTAAGCCCATCTCCCCATTGGGTTCTCAAGGCCATTTTGGCTAAGCCATGGCACCTGCCAATCACCTGACATCATGTGAAGGCAGGTATAATTACAGATGCAAACAGCATTGAAATCTGGCCGCATTCCTTTGTAGCTACAATACAGAGGAATCTTAAGATGAACAGTTAAGATGGGTCGCCATAAACTTTATGATATCTCATGAATATATAAATATACACACACTAATAACATAAGGCAGCAAAAACACATACATATAATAAATACTTGCATTTTAATTGCTATACTTAATATTTTACCGAATAGAAAAACTATTATATTCATCCACATTTATGCTATATTTATTCGTCATAAATTCAGTAAGAGGATTCAATTTATCCTGAATTTATCTTTCTTGTCTTCCTTCTCTCAATCTGATCAATTCCATTAGCTTGTTCATTGTGGCTACCTTCCCAGTTTTTGTAAACCATTCTTTCACTGCTGGTAGCGTCACCTATTTTTCAATTTTTGTGCAACAACCATTTGAGCAGGCTACTATTACTATCTTAACTGTGGTTTATTTGTGGATCTAAACACCTTAACAAAATTATTAGGGGGTCCAATGACAAAGCGTAAAATGTTATTAATCAAACTATCTTTATAACAGGTCCACCAGATATGTTCCATATCTGCCTTTAAGCGTTCGTGTCTCAAACACTTTGGTCACTGAGATTTTTACTCGTTCTGTGTGGAGTCATATACCATTGATATAGCAGTTTGTAATGATTTCCTTGGATGTTAACACAAACAGACTGTGTTGGTTCCTAGGCAAAATGTTTTCCTTATTCTTGTTCAGAATTTCATCTATTATTGTTACCCATTTCCCCATAAACTTGTACCCAGATTTCAAAGTACTCAGAACCCTTTTCAGCTTTCCCTTGTTGTGATTTCTCACCTGAAAACTTGAGAGTTAATACTAATGTTATGGTTATAATATAATGTTATGGTGTTAAGAAACAGAGAATTGCAGCTGTAAATCATAAGTTTAAGGAAATTATAATGAAAATCAGTTAATTAATTGAATGGAGGGTTGCTGAGAAAGGGTAAATATAAGGATGCAGAAAAAGGGAGGTAAGGGGAAGTCCGGGAAGTAAGGTGAAAGAAAACAAGTTTAAGATATTATTTATGTTTATTCGTGTGTATGTTTTGTTTTGTCATATTGTTTGTTTTTATTATATGTTTGGAAAATTAATAAAAATTATTTAAAAAAAAAAAACTTGAGAGTTAATACAGTGAGGTTAGGAAATAATGTAATTTGCCTCTATCGATCTAAGAAGTAAATGCCTGTACTGTACTATTATTAGCTATCAGGGCTAATAGCCACTTGCAGATGGGACATAAAACAATGATTTTGACATGTACCCTCACATTTTAAGCAAGGGTGCTCTTGTTTAGGGTCCCAGCCATACCTTTGTTCATGATTTCCATGCCCAGACCTCAGTTTTTTTCCTGACACTTAATATTACATGATGATGGCTGAGCGTGTTCTCATTTAGTTGTTGTTTTTTCTCCTCTTAATTATTTTTTTTAAAAAAAAATATATTTTGCACTTCTGCAAACCTCTTGATTCCCTCAAGCATGTTGATAAAAAGGTAAAGGTACCCCTGCCCATACGGGCCAGTCTTGACAGACTCTAGGGTTGTGCGCCCATCTCACTCAAGAGGCCGGGGGCCAGCGCTGTCCGCAGACACTTCCGGGTCACGTGGCCAGCGTGACAAGCTGCATCTGGCGAGCCAGCGCAGCACACGGAACGCCGTTTACCTTCCCGCTAGTAAGCGGTCCCTATTTATCTACTTGCACCTGGGGGTGCTTTCGAACTGCTAGGTTGGCAGGCGCTGGGACCGAGCAACGGGAGCGCACCCCGCCATGGGGATTCGAACCGCCGACCTTTCGATCGGCAAGTCCTAGGCGCTGAGGCTTTAACCCACAGCGCCACCCGTGTCCCACAAGCATGTTGATACCTCTCTCTTATTTCTCAGTGGCCCCATTTTGGCTCCACTTCTGTCAGGACTCACCACTTGAATTTGATATTAAAGAGAGTGAGAGACCTATTTTCAATGAATTTCTCTGAATTCTTTTTTTTTTTTAAAGATTAGACACCTATTTCATGCGATAGTGAATTTCAGTATTATGAGGTGCAATTCTGTCTCCTGAACCCACTATCAAAAAACTTCATTAAGTGACTCCATTGGTCGAAGGACCAGGACATTTCCCTCAAATTTCCATCACCTCTTGTAACAACAGAACTCTACCACATATCTCACTTAATCCTAAACCCCTTGACAAAGATTGAAGTACAATAAGCTTTTTCTTTGAAGGGCAGGTGCTCCAATACTTCTGATTATTTTAGTTGCCCTTTTTTCAGCAGTATTATCCTTTTTGACATGTGACCAGAACTCTCTCAGTATGGCATCACCATAAATTTATATAATGGCATTATGGTATATGTGGCCCGGGTTTCACTGACTCACTTCAGTACTTATTTTAGGACGTTGCCATCTAAATCTCCCAGAGCTGCTGCAGCTAGTTTCCTGCTTTTGGTGCATTTTAAAAGAATGGCTCAGATCCTGAGTTGCCCTTCTGCACTGGAGCAGATTTTTTCAGTTAGAGTTCTGCTCATGGAAACGAGCAATCACAGCTTTCCGATTTATAAAAGAGATATGTGCATGAATGTAACAGTATACATTCTGATTCTTAAATTTATGTACAAAAAACTGTAATACGTAAATCAAGTGTGAGGAGATATAGCTTAGTAGTTTCTTCAAAATGTGTGCTTTACTGAAAACCCAAGATCATGGCTACAAGTTGCAGTTGGCTTTTCCGGAAAAACTAATTAAACACAAAATGGATCAATTACCTGATTTTTGAAATTGTTAGGCTGTAAATTTGAATGTATTGTATTATTTCATCCAGAAGGCGATCTGTCATTGAATCAAAATCAGCAAATGTATCATTCTGTGGGGGGAAAGTTCAGTGTTCTAAATGAAGTCATTTCGCGATAAAACAAATTCTTAGTCATTTGCTCTGACATCACAGATAAGAACTATCAAAGATAATAAAGAGTAATCCCATGAAATAATTTTTGAGGGGGAGCTACTTTTTGTACAGAGGATAACTTTCTTACAGAGGATAGTTTGCTTTAAATGTCTCAAAACAGCCACATTTCATATACAAAGGTAAAACTATACTATACTATTTCCTTAAGAGGCTCTGTTTTCAAGACTAAGGCAAAATATCTTAGAAGTATGACTATGTGCAACAGCAAAGTAAGCTTTATAAAATAAAATTCCAGATTCTACAGCAGGCTTCCTCAACCTCGGCCCTCCAGATGTTTTTGGCCTACTACTCCCATGATCCCTAGCTAGCAGGACCAGTGGTCAGGGATGATGGGAATTGTAGTCTCAAAACATCTGGAGCGCTGAGGTTGAGGAAGCCTGTTCTACAGCTTTTAACAGCAAAACCACTCAAGCACAATGAAATTTTCAATTATTAGCATACAGTGAGAAAACTCAAGCAGAACATCACAATATGTTCTGTGAAGAGTAAAAACAGAGTTATTTCTATGGTACAATCTTATGCATGCCTACTCATAAGTAAGTCCCACTGAGTTAACTGAAATGGACTCAAAGGTACAGGATTGTAACGGCAGCTGCAAGGTTAACTTTGCAACCTACAAAGAGATTAGTAATTAGAGATAAATCAGTCTATATGAACTAACCATAGGGTGTTGCATTAGAAATAATAACAATAAATCTTTTCAGCACTTGCAAATACCTGATTTCTCTCAGACATCAGAAAATCTATACGGCTTCCAGGAAGGCCAAGTTCAATGTAAGTCTTTACTAGTCTTAAGTCTGCACTATTACCTAAAATAAAGAAGTGAAGATCAGATGTTTGAAATGCCTACTTTCAAAAAATGTTAAGTAAAATGCTTATGCGTAACATTGTACAAATGCCAATTGTATTCTTTTGGTTTGAGACTTGCACTAAAATCAAAGATCTGCTAACTGCAATATAAACATTGTTTTTGCTTAAAATATAGAATATAGTGGGAAACAGGTTTCATGGGTTATATTAGAATAATGGCTCAACTGATTACTTTCAATCTTGGCAGTGTGAGGATGGTCCGTGCCAAATTTGGGTTTAAAAGGGTAAGAAATGGCTTGTTTTGAATGAGTTAAAAGTGGAGAGGTTCCACCATGTTAACAAGTTCTGTGCATTTTCCCCCCATTGACTATACTGGGTTGTTTTACCAGAAAGATTCTGCCATTTGTACTGAATGTTTCAGGAAATCTGCTGCTTGTTTTAGGTTAACGGGAATGCCTAGTACAGTGGTACCTTGGTTTACGAACTTAATCTGTTCCGGAAGTCCCTTCTTAAACCAAAGCATTCTTAAACCAAGGCGTGCTTTCCCATTGCAGTGGGGGACTCAATTTACACTCAACAGGAAGTGGAACATGTTCTGCATCCAAGGCAAAGTTCACAAACCAAAACACCTACTTCCAGGTTTGCAGCGTTCTTAATCCAAGTTGTTCATAAACTAAGCTGTTCTTATACCAAGGTACCACTGTATGTGTTTTTACCCTTGAGTTGTGCAATATACTTTTAGTTTTTATATAAAAAAGTCAACAGTTTCTGACCAGTCTTAGCTCCTGGGAGTTTAGAACCTTCTTGTTACTAGACAAGATCCTCACAGACCAGAGTTTACATTTCAAATACGTCACGACGTTAGAAGTTAGGTGTAAATGAGATGGAAAGGAATGACAGATAAGTCAAAACTGTTTGAAAAGCATTTTTGGGGCATGGTGATATCTTTAAGGTACCCAGCAGCTGGATTTCTGATGGGCAGCTTTTCAAGGCACAGGACAGCTTTCAGGAAAAAGGATGGACATTTAGGTGCAACTGTGAGACTGTAGACTGTACTTTATTTGCTAAATCCCCCCCCCCATTGTAACTTTTAAAGGTTATGCTTGCCAATTGCCTTAAAACCCTCACCTTTAACAAGCATAGCATGTGCAGAAATCAGATGGCGTGATTGTGGGGCCTGAGAAACAAGAGGACCCCTGCTTATGTTACTCAACTAACCATTTTTTACAGGTAGAGAAGCAGCAAAAGCCAGTAAAAGTTGACAACTCCATTAGTCACCAGAGCCTGGTTCTAAACTTATTCCATTTAAAATATTAAGTCACTTAATAGGCATATTAAATTGCATGTGAAATCATTCTTGTGTGATTTCTTATTAATAAGTGCATTCCTTCCTTTTTCCCATTGCATTTCTCATTTTCAATTATGCCTGATCAGAGAGTTGTAGGAAAAGCCTTCTCAAAATGTTATCAAATTCAATTAAGAAAAAAATCTTTTAGTTTTAACATGCTGTGCTAAATGCTTTCCATGTGGTCGCACTGAGTGCAGGAGGAGCTACAATAATGTTGCAGAATGGTGTGTGAGAGATGTGGGAAAGCAAATTTTAGCATTACATAGGGCACCACTGAAATGTGAGAGCCCAAAGACTGCCACTGATAGCCTGTGGCATAAAGGGGATTTTTAAAAAATAACTTTTAAAAGCATGTTTTCATTATTCCTAAATGTACAAATCACCTAGGTTTAATGGTATCTTGCAACAGTGGCCTTCACAAAGATTTGTTAAAAACATAGTTCTCTTGACACCGGGCCTACAAAGCTATAAATGCTACCTGCTGAGGCCAGGAGATATAGGTAGGATATCTATGCTTAAATAAACCTGTTTTTCTTCCGTATTATTTAAAGCAGGGGTAGCCAATGTGGTACCCCTCTACAACTCCCATCATCCCTGACCATGGATTATATGGGATGATGCGAGCTGTAGCCCAAAACACCTGGCATCACATTGGCTACTTCTGGTTTAGTGAAAATTCTCAATCTAAACCAAAACTTTATCGGAAACCTAAAGTATTTTCTAATCCATTATCAGCTGCTAGAACATACCATCGAGGCCATGCACACAAACTATGAGATGAATGCCATCATCTGAACTTTCCTCCTCTTCTGTGCTGAAATAAGGTACTGAAGATGCCAGTCTGGGAACATCACTATACATAAATCCAGGGAGCTGAAGTAGTTTCAGTTCCTCTTTAGCATGAAGGAATCTAAAACAAGCAGATTTTATTTAACTCAGTTTGGTAAATGAAAGTACGTTACATTCGTTTGATTTGTTTAACTTGCCGTTCATCTATATTAAAATTATAGCCCACTGAAAATCCGGTATCTCTGATCAGAAAGCCTTGAGAGTATGTGCTCACCAAATTACTTAAGGCCAACACATTCCCCACCCAAAATATGGCTTTTGCAATATAGCTACAGCCTAGCCCTTTGCAAGGTACTGCAATCCCATTTGCTATGCTGAAAAATCAATTAGTTACAACACCATACCACTCGCAGCAGTTCACAGCATTAGTGACAGATAATTCCTCGTGGCAAAAATGCTTTAAAAAGGCAATAATCTCCATACCACCTTCAATTTGAATCCTCTAGCTGCCGTTTCTATTCTAGAAGCAGCACAGGCAATATCTCTGTCACATTCAGCAAAGATCAATACCTGCACAAGGCTGCAGACCTTTGCACAACCATCTTGGTTTGCAGCATTTCATGTGACCATGTTGTATTGGTATTGTGCTATACTGTGACAACTATTTCACTTGCAGAAAAACCCAGGAGATTGAGACTTTAATAAGCTGCTTAGAATTTAAAAATAATTCCCGATGCTCCAATTCATGTCTTATTTAGCAATCAGGATGCAATTCACGACGAAAAGCAACACCCAGCAAACCATCTCTGCAGAAATGGACCCCATACTGAAAACGCTGAAGCTGGGGGCCAAACGAGTTGTGAAGGTTGTAACATGGTTTGGCACTGCACAGTTGGGTTTTAGAAAAAAAAATAGCCAGCACCAGGGAAGCTGGATTGCATCTGTGTCATGGCAAGATGGGGGCTTTAACCTTTTGCCCCTACCATGGTTCCAAGCAGAATTGGACTACCCCATGCACTTGCTATTGGTATTAGTGGGAATCTTCCTCCCATACGGAATTGCAAGCTGCGGTGTGTATGTCTAGTGTGCTGCTAGAGCTTTTTTTAAAATTTCATGATGAAACAAAGGTCAAGAACATATCTAAGGTGGATTATACTTTCATTCTAGCAGCAAGTCCGCTCAATTCAACTCTGTTCAAAATAATCTTCCTCACCCTTCACAGGTGGATCACAGTCCTGGTCATTATGCACATACCTCAAAACTTTCATATATTTTAATGTGGAAATAACCTGGAATTCTAGGTGTAGCAAAATGAAGAAAACAGTAGCAAACAACAACCAAACCCAAAAAATAAAATGCAAATGAAGTTTGTATATTTTCCTTTTAAACTGGGTTTTAAAAGCAATTCTTTTAAACCATAGCACTTACGCTAGCTTTTGTGGCTTGGGAGAATACTCATACCAGGAGACAGAAGAAGCTGTACTGCAGGACATGCTGCAGGGTTGCTTGAGAACTGCATTCGATTTGTCTTTCGAAGACCATAACACATCACACGGATAGCCTTTCAATGCAGTGGGAGCAGCCAAACTACCTGGAGCACACAGTGGAGCCACGTCTGTTGCCTCCTCAAAAAACCCACTATTCAATATTTCTGTTATAAAAGGTCCCACAAATGCTAGGTCCAGATCCTCCTCAGCATCATTTGTAGCTCCATACAAATTACTATCATCTGCTTCCTCAAAATAACCATTTTCAACCATGTCTTGATCTTGCTCCTCCTCTTCCTCCTCCTCTTCTGTTGAATTAGAACAGATGGTTCCCCTTTGAGGGCTAACTGTACTGCTATTGTCAGCAGAATGTATTTTGGAAATATCTGTACTGCTTTGATTGCCAAAGTAGTTTTCTACAAGTCCTTGCTTCAGCATATCATTACCTCCTTCCGAGGATACAATGTTCGTGCTTGTGAGATTTTCATCTTTTGCAGCTGACAACTGATCAGACAGTTGTTTTTGCTCTAAAGAATCACTACATTTTCTTTCACTTGGTTGCTTCACGCTGCCCTCTGGATAACTAGACACTGAACCCGAAACAACACAGGACTTGCCCAGATAAACAACTCCTGAAGGAATTTCACTTGCTTTTTCCACACTGTGCAAGTTTTTATCAAGTCTTTGAGAATCATTACAAATTGCACCAATATTCAGTTGCAGGTTGTGAGAGTTCACATCCTCAGATTTACTTTCATCAAGTTGTAGTGGACACTTTTTATCTGAGGATGAGGAAGGCAGAAATGTCGCTTCGTTGCCCGAATACCCTACACACTGCTGTGGCAAAACCTTTGTATCTTCACTGTCATCACATGTTGTCAACTCAATTGCTCCCAGGTCTAAAACAGTTTTGCTATCACTTAATTGGCATTCAGGTACATCGGATATCTTTGAGTTTTCATCAGGGGACAGATCATCATCAGAAGGCAGAGAGTTTATTGATGTCAGGGAGGACTGTATTTCACTAACAGCACTCGTACTTTCAGTGCAATGACTTTCTACTGGGTTTTTAATATTATTATCTGGTTTAAGCAATAGTTGAGGAAATATTCTTTCATTGTTGCATGCACTTTGCCCTTGAGGAGTTTCAAGACCCACATCTGTACTTGGATGCATTGCAAAAGAACTAGGTTCACTTTCTACACCAGAATCCGAAAACCTAGATGATGCATAGGTAATACTAACATCAGGTAACTTAAGTACGTCTCCACCTAAAACTGCAACAGAAGTTTCTTTTGTAGATTGAATGGGCAGGTTGGTGCCAACCCTTGTGAAGGAATCCTCAGTATGCTGGAAGTTTGTTTCTTGTACAACTTCCTTTTCAAGCTGCGGTTCTTCTGATTTAGGTTTTCTTTCGCATTCTGAACTTTCAAAGGTGGGCTCCTGCAAATTCTCTCTACGTGAGCCTTCTGTCTGTAATCCAATGCGAACAAAAACTTTATCTCCTCCACAAATATTTCTACAATATGGTTTTACTTCTATTTTTGTAACCCCTGGTGAACCAAAAGAGTCTTCAACAGGACTTCTGGGGGTCAAGCTGCTGCCCCCATGAGTACCCCCAATGCCTGCTTGGAGGGTATCAGATTTACCCAAAAGAATTGAATTTGCACAATGAGAGATGATAGCACTGGGGTGGCTTTCCTCATTCCCTTCCAGTTTGGCAGTTCTTTGTTCAGTTCTACATGGTAAACTTCTAAACTCTTTCTGGCTGATTTGCCTCATTAAGTTCTTCGCATCGGAAGCATGGCCACCAACTGCAGAATCCAGCCCTTCTTTCTGGTCCAATGAAGGCATACCTTCAAAGCACTTTGAGATGTCCTCAGGTACTGCACTCTTCAAGCATTTGTAGCCTACGAGGACTACAGAGTCCTTAGAGTTTTGTTTTACTAATTTTTTGGGATTTTCAGGTTTCATTGTTTTCATCAGTTTAGTAACCTTAACTTTGGATTTGTTTGCCTCTTGACACTGCGCTTTTGCAGACTTGGTGAACTGTTTTTCACTTTCTGAGTGCCAAGCATGGGAGGCAACTGAAGGTCTGTTTTTCAAATCCGGGCTAGCCATAAAACTTTCTTCAGATTCTGGTTTATCTGGCTTCTTGGAGTCAGACTTCTGATGAGCTGTCAGCCAGGGTACATCCATCTCTTATTTAAAATAAAAAGGCAAGACAATGTAACTTATTACACACCTGAAACTTTTACTAAATTGCAGTTTATAGATTTAAAATATAAGTAAGTGAAGAATGTGTTTCAAGAGCATTCATTTATCTCAAGATAAATAGGAAACCACATTATATTGAATCAGACCATTATTGTCTACACTGACTGGTAGCACAGGGATTTCCCAGCTCTACCTGCAGGTACCAGGGACTGAACCTGGGAACTTTTGCATATAAAACATGTGCTATACTACTAAGCTATGGCCATTCTCCAGACTCTTGTCAACCAATAAATAAAGCAGACAATTTATGCATTTTTAAATATTAATTATTATTTAAATATGCTGAGTTCTAGGGGAAGGTGGTGAACTTTTCACATTTGCAATAGGTTTTTTTGAGACTTCCCTTGTAACTGTGGTACCATGTAGTACCATATACGACCTGGGAAGATTCTCTCAAATATCAGGTTAGGCCCCCAATGCTGCGAAAGGACTGGCAGCGAGAAATGGAAGCCACAAAAGCTTCAGTGCACACACCCTTAAGATTCTGGCTATAGTATGTTTCAATGTGTAAAAGCAAGGGTAGCCAACATGATGCCATCAATATGTTGTAGGGCTATCATCCTTGTCCACTGGCCATGCTGGCTGGCTGATGGGAGCTGGAATTACACAACATCTGGAGGGCACCATGCTCATATTTTTTCAGGACAGAAAATTTCTAAACTTTTATTTCAAACCTCCCCCCCCCAAGACAAAACCCAATGATTTACCTTCAGTAACAGAATCCAGATACCGATCTTCAAAGATTATAGGCAAGGAGTTCAGATCACCATCTAATTCACTGCATTCAGTAGGGAGAGGCGGCAGAGAACTACAGAAGGAGGTGCTTTTTATGGCAGTACACATCTGAAGGTAACTTTGCGCACTGAAATATACAATCTTATGTTAAAATATTTGTAAAAAAATTAAACATCAACAATAAGCTGTAACTGAAAATACAACTGCATTTTAATAAGGTACAATTAAAACATGAACACTAATGGAAGGTCAAGTCTTAATAATGCAAATTACATTCAGTACACCTAAATTAGATTTGATTAAAGAAAAACCTTTATGTATTTACCAGCAGAAGTGTTTGGACCAGTGCCATCCAGGCACTGTTCTAATTGCAAAGCAGGGCTATAAATGTGTAGTAAAAATGAAGGATATATTGGCTATATAGGAAGTTACATGACAGTAGGTAAAAAGGGCTAAAGAACAGGCTAGGATCCCTGGAATAATAAAAGGAGAACATTTGTGGATAAAAGTGTTTTACATTGGTCAATGAAAACTGTTCATGTCTGAAGAACGACCACTCTTACGTCTGGAAACACTTCAACTTCTTAGGCTTTTTTGTGTGCTAGAGGCTGAATCAATAAAATCCTCTCAGCCATTCAGTGCTACAGTCTGAATATAGTTCCACTGGCAGAACTGGCCAACATTAAGATTCAACTGGCCAATATCAATGAAGAACCTGTCCCACTCCAGAAAGTGTTTGGACTCCAATTCCCATTAGTGCCAGTATGGTCAACAGTTAGGGATAATGGGAGATTTGGTCCAGCAACATCTTGACGGTTACTGATTCCCCCACGCTAATGTATATGAAAGGCCCTCTCACACCTCACATGTTTGGGGAAAGTGTCAGATGCAAGTTTTTTTTATACATATAGCCATAAGAATGTATTATTTAAAATATAAATAGCTTAATGGTTTTTTTTTAAAAAATCCACATGATGTACAACATAAAAACAAACAAAAATAGAACATCTCCTGAAGATCTCTGCACCCTGCATTGCATGCAAGATGGCTGGTGCTTGAAACATCATTTTTCAGAAGCCAGAATGACAGCAAGATTCATGTATGGGGAGGGAAAAGCAGGAAGATTCCCAAATTTTCTCCTCCCCAGGTCTAGGGTTTGAAGAGAGGGCTGAGCTGCTATCAACATTCTCAAATAGTTTCCCCCCATTGGTTTGGATTCTTGCAAAACACATTGGATTATTAACCCCTTTCTTCTCTACCCTTGTTTTTAGCTTCTGCTTCTAGTGGGCTTCTTAACACCAACTCATGCATACTAAGAGATAATAATGTCCAAAAGCCAGTGGCAAAACTCTGAATGGAAAAGCCTGACAATCCATGATGGGGAAGGGGATGAGCAAAAAGGAGGCAACCCATTGCGAGCAATCCTATGTCCCATATTCACCAGATGTCCTTGCCAGATCCTGCGATGGCCCAGTTGATGGGATCTCTCCCACTAAACTCAGGGCCTTGCCCAGAAGCTGGGCCAAGTGTTGACAAAGAGACAGTGCCACTGCCACAGGCAGTGTTTGCTCCACTAACCAAGCCCAGGTTAAGGACTTCCTCCTGCTGAAGTCACTCCAACGTGTCTCCAATGAATTCTCCAGTGAGTCAATGAAGAGTGCAAGGTTGGACTCTCTGTTCCTGCTGGGAAACATTGCAGGAGCAACCTTCTAGATGCTTCTGATCTCACTCTCTTCCTACCAATTTTTTTCTTAAAAAAAAATCCATTCCAGCCAGAGACAGACAAAAAGGAATGGAAACAAAACAGAGGTTGCCAAATCCTAAAATTGGTACAGCTCTGCCAATGCCCTGTCAATAGGATCTGGGTAGGATTGGAACTAGGGAAGGGAGACTCTGTCTCACCAGCAGGCATGTGATTTCTGTTATGTACATCCATGGCCTGGGAAGCTGATAAGAGGCTCAACACACCTGAGGATCTCTTCTTCCACTGCAGGTTAATAGTTATTTGCTTTTCTCCCAATCTAAATGCTATCCTTCCATTTATAGAGGCTTCTCTGATCCAGCAAAGATTTCTCTCAATGAAAGGGGGGGCTAAGAAGATTTTTGCCAATTCCTCCTTTCACCTGCAGCCCAGCATACTACCTGCTACACTATTCTGGAGGTCCCACAACCCTTTGGAATAGGATTTTTTGGGGGAGTAGGGGGGCTACAGGAGAAAGAATGAACTGGTAAAAAATTACCTGCTCTGTTCACAGAAACCTCAACTGAAACAAACTTAATGTAGGATATTGTGGGTTGTAGTCAACTAGCTTTTACTCAACAGCACATGCACTGACATTAATGGTCAACTTGGTTGCATTAATTTCAGTGGGTCTACTATGAGTGAAAGCTTGTTGATTACAACCCACAATATCCTACAAGAAGTTTTAATTAATTTTGTAACAAAATAAGCTTAGTGAGCTATGGCTTAATATTTTCAATTTAAAGGTACTTACTGTAGCTCTTGGTATGCAAGCGCTGCTTCCCTTGGATGTTCAAGGCAAAAAAAAGCTTCAGAAAACCTACGTACCTAAAATGTTTCAAAGTAATAAAACGAAAGGTTCACACTGAAATAAAACTTTCATCACTCTCTTTTCTTATAAAAAACCACACACACATAACACATCTATACTATTAAGTCACAGTAAAAGTGCATGTTCAGTAAACTTTAAAACACGCACATTCACAAAAAACATTGGCATGAAATAGCAAATTAAGCTGGGTCAAGTACTGCAGCAAACCTTTCAAAATAATAACTCATTTTTTAATCCATTTAAGTGGTTGCATATTTCAATGAGAAATATGTTGCAATCTGGTGGTTTTTTATAGAAAACATTTAGTAAGTTAAGCAGAATTACATTGCGGTTGCATACACACACCAGATTGTTTCAGGTTATGTCTCCTTTTTTCAGATGCCCATGTAGAAACAAGTAAATGGAGAAGATTCAAAGTGTTTCAATAACTCAAAAGGTTATCAGACTTGTCCAACTGAATGACACAATCTTTCCACCTACTAATATGAATTTGGCTTCCATGAATGTTCAGCTATGTTTTCTCGTGTCATTGGTGTACACTATGCCCATTCTAACAGCCCATTTAGAGGACTAATATTGAGGAATAAGGTTGCAGACATGTCATACCTATCACAAACTCATGTATCTAGGTCTCTAATGCTCAGATGGCCCTTCCACACACTTAATGGATATCCCATTCATTACCCAAGTCTTTTCCAAAGGATTGCTTCCTACTTCCTCAATAGGATGTCCTCCAAGCCAAGGAGATCAGTTTTCCACAGCAATTAGTGAGACATCCCTATAATACCCTTGAAAGTGTTGTCTGGGTACTACAAATGTGAGCCAATTCACGTTTACTGGAAGCAGCATGCAAGTGCCTCCCTGCGCTTTCTTCCCATGTCACTCTGGTAATACAAATATGAAGGGTTTACCTATTACCTACGAATATGAAAGACTCACATTCTTAGGACCAGTGGTGTCGCTCCTTCCTACGTGAATGTTGCCTTCCAGGGAATTACTTATTGCTTCACTGAACTCAGTGGGACTTACTTCAGAGTAGACATGTACTGGGCGGCACTGTTATAACCTTCAGGGTTGTTTGGTGCATGAGGTGGGGCACCACTGCTGCACCACCCTCCCAGTACTGATGGCACAGCTGGTTGCCATGAAAGGCCACAGTAGGGAGGTGTTGAGTCAAGCACTGGATGCCTGCCCCAGCAAGCAGCAGCAGCAGCACAGCTGGGAGGGCAGCACAGCGGCCCTCCATCTCACATACTATAGCTGTCTTTTGGACAGAAAGACCCCTAGTTTTAAGAGCTAAACCTGCCACATTGTTTTAGAAATTAGTTTTGTGGATGACACATTCCTGTGCTTAAAAGTTGTATCACGACAGAATGAATACATACACGCATTGTATGATGCTCTCGTGCCAGCAATGCAGTGATATCCTCTTGGAAGTTAACGGCCTCAAGAAATTGTCCCCATAAAGCCATCAGAAGTGAACAGAGCTGTGCAAGATGCATGTTTATAAGTTCTGCCAGTTCATCAGGATTCTCCATTTTCTGCACCAACAGAGAAAACAAACAAGCTTGTATTCTTAGAAGTAGAAACTCTAGTACTTTGAGAAAGTCATAAATTTTTTTTCTTCTTCTTAAAAGTATCTTTAAAGATTAAAAGCATTTTAAGTTTTTAAAAATGGAAAGGGATTCAAAGTCATCTATCCATTTGCCTTCCTTTGAGTAACGGCATTTACTGTTTAATAATTGGTAATCAACCTTAAGCTTAAAAATGGCACTACAGTCTGTATTCAAACTTTAGAACTTCAAAGCCTCTGGTATATAAATGTGTTTATACTGGCCCTTTTATTTTCAGTTATTTTCTTTATAATCCTTAGAATGTGATTTACCTTTTCCACAGCTGCTATTGATTTCTGCATTGAGTTGCTTACAATCCACCCCATGGTCTCCTGGATAGCCACCACAGGTTCAATCTTATCACTGTACATATACGTATATAAGGTAGCTTTTGCCCCAGAGTGCATCAGTTTATACTGTACTGGCTTACTCACATGGCATTTGGTAGCAATTTGGATTTTTCACTATCCTACAGAATTTGGTGTCATCTGTCTCACTTCTCATACTTCCATATCATTTATGAATTACAGTATTTACATTTCTAACATACAGTACTATAAGCCCCAAACAAATCCTTAGGTGAGACCAGTGGTTATTTCCCTCCACCATAAGAACTACTTGTTCCTACTCTTAGCCTTTTTAACTAGTTCAGTTTGTAAGAAGACCTCTTTTCTTATCCCATGACTGCCGAGCTTGCATAGGAGCCTTTGTAAAAAATACTCTGTCAAAAGCTCATTAGGCAAAGTATGTCTACCAGAGTACTCATATCCACATATCTATGAAATAATGCAAATAAAAATTAATTCTTTAGAACCACAGTTAGCTATTTAAAACAGTATCTAACATCTGGAAAAACCCTGAAATGAAAGCAAGCAAGCAAGCAAGCTGTGATTTAAGATTTACATGGATCAGAGAAAAAATACCTTTATTTCTTCACAGAGTTCTGACAGGCGTGCTTCTACATCTATATTCTCTGAAAAGATTAGAGTGTATGGAAAATGAATATTCCTAAATTTTAAGCTACATTTTATAAATTGCAGAGGGAGACCCCATTCAAATCTGTTCAATTTTTAAAACAAAGCTTTTTGGTTGTCTTGAAGTTCCTTAAATACTATAGTCAATGTGATATCCAGTAAATTTCTCAACTGAGAGTTCAGCTAAGAACAAAATCCTTCTGGTTTTGCAAGCGAGTGCTCATAACGACATTTATTCAAACACTATTTTAAATGTTACCAGACCATAGCATAAGGTACATGAATGTACACTTGCACCTCTTTAGATTGTATATTTTAGAAAGACTTCCAAAAAGCAACACAATGAAACTGAACGCACAAACAAAATTTAAACCAGTTCCAATTTACCATAAAAATATTGCTGGAGAAAGCAAACTTGAAAGAATTTCAATAATCCATATTAGGGCAATAACTCTATCAGGCCTACCCAAAAGTCACAAAATAGAATACAGAATGCAAGATTTTGAGTTTTATAGAATCCTTCATCAGGTTAAATGGTAAAAAATTGCAAGGCAAAAGGGAAAGAAAGATATTGTTTCCTGGTTGGTATTCAATCCATTCAAGTACATCTGTTAAGAATATTAAGGTGGCGTGTGAGAGGAAGCAGACGTTCAGATGAGGTCCTTTTTAGATGCCATGCAGGTATCATGTTGCACTGCAGCTTCCTTGGAAGGAAAAATACTAACAGCAGAGTCCCCATCTCTGAAAATAAAGCAGCCAGTTTTATAACAATAAAGGTATGGCCATGATATGGATTTTGGGATTTTTCCTTGATGCCCAATACAGTGGTACCTTTGGTTACGTACTTAATTTGTTCTGGAGGTCCGTTCTTAACCTGAAACTGTTCGTAACCTGAAGCACAACTTTAGCTAACGGGGCCTCCTGCTGCCGCCGCTTCACGATTTCTGTTCTCATCCTGAAGCAAAGTTCTTAACCTGAGGTACTATTTCTGGGTTAGCGGAGTCTGTAACCTGAAGCGTATGTAACCTGAAGCGTATGTAACCCGAGGTACCACTGTACTGCTAAAACCTTTTGTGTGAAATGGAAAACACCAAATTTAAACATACAAAAACTAGAGGAAGAGGATTTTATGTATCTGAATATAAGGCTTTATTCTCTGAGGAAACATTCCCTCAAACAGCTTGGTAAATCTATTGTTCTGTTGACCATCTTTTTATCTCGCACACCAGCTGATATAAATCTATATTCCTATTAATGTAAAGGACTACCTAGTTTCTTTAAGCCTGTTCTCCACCTAAGAAGGAACCTGGGTGTTTCATCTAAGGATGGAAAGGGAACCAAGCAACAGTCCAGCCAAACCTCCCTCCCTTTTTCCTCCATGCACCTCTTTTTTTAAACATCTAACGTGATGAAGAGTTCTGTAGAACACCAAAGGTTGTTTACTATTTTGTACCATTTTGGGTGACCCAATAAAGGTTCTTTGATTTTTGTATTTTTCCTTTTGAGTCAAGACAGCTACCTTTACTGGGTGATCTGGAAAATTTAGATATTGCATTTAAAATAAAAAAGGGTTTACATTTAAATATACTGAAATATTGGGATGGGTGATTAGGATGTATAGGAAAAGTCAAGTGGAGGCATTATTATTACACTTTGGATTGAATCGTACGTTCCTAAAAGTAGAGCAATTTTCATGACACTCCCACTTGGGGGGGGGGGAAGGAGGAGACATTGATTTTTCCTTCCTACCCACAATTTTCACTAATTCCCACTAATCTTCCACACTGTTTGAGAAGGTCCCCTAGCCTTCTTGAACAAAGAAGGTTAGGGAACCCTCTCAAACAGTGTGGAAAGTAGTGGGAATTAGTGAAAACAGCTTCTCCCACTTCTGCTCACATGAGTTTCTGCTGAATCAGTCCCTTCCATTTCCAATAGGGCAAGTCAGGATTCAAAACATGACATTTAAGCTGATTTTATAATAATAATAATAATAATAATAATAATAATTCTGATTTTAAGTGCAGTATAGTTAATCACAATAATAGCAGTGTCTGTGTACACAGTCAACATGAATTTCCTAGGTTTTTCCCTAAATTAATGAAAAGGCATGAAATAAAGAACGTGGTCTGTGTTAAATTAAATATGAAAAAGGAGCTTTGCAGATTAGTTACAGCATTAAGTATATTTATTTAAAAATTAATTTACTATAGCTATAAATCACCACTCCTATTCTGGCCCAAAGTTATCCCAGTCAATTTATTTTTAAAAACTGAACAAACAACACTGACCATCCTTTGAGAAACGTATCTGTCTAGTCAAATATTACTCTTTTCTTGGAGAGTAAAAAAAAGAAAAAGAAAAAAGAAAAGACAGCTTAGCTTTTCATTCAATTTTTGTATTCCAATATAGATTGTGTCATTTTTGTTCTACTTTCCCTATCTGAGTATTCTTTCCTGAGTATTTTTCCACGTAGAAATAAACTCCTGAAAAATAAATCTTAACTAAAGTAACTGTTAGTTAGAACTATTTTGGATACAAGTGTTTAATAAGTAACACTTATATTCTGAAAATAATTTCAATTAAAGTTTCACATGGGTCAATATCAAAAGCCTGTGGAAAAAGGCAAGCCCTTACCTGGTGTCAAAAAGATGTTAACAAAGGAACATTTGCTGGGAAGAGCATTCCATAAATATGGACCCACAAATATGGACCCTTGTTACCACCCACCTTAGAGGGGGAACCTCAGTTTCTCATTATGCCTCAGTTTCTCATTATGAGACTGATGTGAGATTCTAGTCTGGACTGCGGAATGTTAACACACACTACAGTTTCCCTAAGTGCCACATTTAGCTCTTCTGGCCTGAGATGTGTGGGCCTAGGGTGGTATACAAATTTCATAAATAATAATAATTATTATTATACAATGAGCAACTTAGGTGTAACTAGGAGCTTGCATTTGCCCAGTGGGATGGATCCAAAGCTCCCACCCTCCACTGGAAAACTTCTTCAGTCAAAATGGAACCATTAGATCAAACCCAATTGCACCATTTTTCTTCCACTTCATATCAAAGTCTCCTTAGCAATTAAAAGTTTTTTTTCCTTTATGGGTGGTTTTCAACTAGTAAGACAGAATTTAAATATTCTTAAACAAATGTGTGGTTTTCCATGAAGGATGTTATGCTTTCCACAAGTACACTCCCTTCTATGTGCACACACACATTCCTTTAGGCCAGAAGTGGGGAACCTCAGGTCTGGGGGCCAAATCTCTCTGTTTGGCCCTTGGAACTTTCTGTAAGTCACACTCCTCACCAGTGCTGCACCATGCCATTCTCAACTGCTTTTGCTTACCTGCATGGAGGATAGAAGTGTGTGTTTGTTTGTGTGCGTATGTAGGTATCTCTGACTTTTGCTTGGCAGAAATTTAGCCTTCCAAACAAAGATAAGAGCTATATCTGCTGTTCCACCTGTTTTTGCCTTTGGTCCCACCCAACACTACCATCCAAGCCCCACAACCCTGTTCATGAAGAATGTGGTCCTTCTGTATACTACTAACATGATATTGATTCATTTAAAAACAACACATGGCTTTTAAATATTTGTATAGATTTTGCAATAAATCTTAATATTTTCTAAAATATCATCCCATGTACATATAACCGATGAAAGAATTCTGTAGTTTATCTAAATGAAAAAATGCACATATATTTACATTTCCACATCCAGGCATACAAATTCAGTTAATTAAGAAAACAATTAGGGCCACTCCATGTTTATACCTGACATACCTTTACATCAAAGTATGTGGGCAAGTGCTTTCACCCTCCAGCTAAAAAAAATATTCTTCAAAAAAATATACAATAAAAACATGATACTCCTGGGGTAGATCAGTTCCCATCATAACAAAAAAAATTTTTTTAAAAAATTACTGATCCACATAGCTATAGAATTCATCTGGTGGTAGTTCCTTTGTGCAGAATCTTTTGATTATTATTATTATTTAAACAAAGAAGACACCATGGGCACCAACTGGGTTTGCATGAGTGGAGCTCCATGCAGAGGGATTGCCACTAAGGTCCAATACAGCCCTCCATTGTCCTTGTAAATTATGTTCACACATTGCATCAGCCACTACCCAGAAAGGTTGCTCTGTTTGCTTTCCATTGGTCAGGTAGTTTGCTTTCCATTTGCTCATTCAGGTCTGGCCAAGAATTTGGTCTGAACTCATTTAAACACCTGACCACTGCTAGATTGAGAGGGAGGACTGGGGGCAGAGGGAATAGAACACACACTAGGCTCTCATTCTGGCTAAAGGCCAACACATACAGAATATTCTGTTAGACCCCATGACAATCCCTCTGCTCAGGCCCCTGCAGAGCTTGTCTGAGGCCTGGGGCAGGAGTCCTGTTGGAATAAAGTTATAAACTCAAACTAAAAAAGCAGTCGGTTCCTGGTGGGGTTCCCTGGCCAGTTTAGCCCTCCAAAGCCTGGCTACACCTGCCCTACACGGGCCTCCCTCTACTCCTATGAAGAGAGATATTACTCTAAAACACAACTATATTCACAGGCTGTTAAACCACTATAAATAATTCTAAAAATATGTTTCTTTTTGTGATTTAACTAATCAGCAGCAGCTACCACATCTTCTAGCTAATTAAGGCGTTTATAGGCATGATGATGTTCAATTATAAAGATGGTAGCAAAATACAAGCTTTCATCAAAGGCTACCTAAGAGATAGGGGGAGTGAGAATATGAGGCCCAATATATTTTTCTTCCAAAACAGAAACCAGGTATTAAATATTAGCTCTGGAACTTAAATCTATGCTATTATGTTACTACACAACTGAATATATCACACTATGCAATCATTTTTGGTTTATTAACAAGAAGCTAACTAAACTACCAGTGAAATGAGCTCATTTCATCAGCACTTCAAAGGCCAGATAGAACTGTACACAACCTTAATTTGATTAAAGTTAAGAGCCCTTTTACACAAGGTGTGGATGACATCTTTAGGTTCTTTGATCCTGTTTAAACATGAATTATAAGGAATTATTTACAAACAAAAAGCTATGATGTTTTATTATAACAAATCCTAATTGGTTAAGCCGCTTAATAAAACAACATACCTATATAGGCGTCTCCCTGGATTCGTAGATATTTTCTTCTGAGGAGGCGTTCATAAAGGACCTGCATGCTGGGCTTGGCTAGTTATAAGGATTGTACACACGACTAGTTACTACACTCCTTTTTCCATCTGTGTTTTATTATTATTATCCTTAAAGTTAGTAAGAAAGTTTTATCACTCACCTAGTAATTAGTGCAATTAAATAAGAAAAATTAAAGAAGAGACTTTAGGAAAGTTCTAGATAAGGAGTTCTGGATGATGTACATTATGAATTTATTGGATTCTTATCACCTGTTTGGCTTTTTGTTTGTTAAATCATGATTGCCCAAATGCTAACAATTTCTGTTATGTGTGAGGCATATTTTATTTTAAAATTATTTAAAAAGTCAATTTTGAAATAAAAATGTACATCAAATAAGTAAACGGAAGGCAAAAGGAAAGACAGAGAATATAAGGCAAGTCAAAAGAAAAGAAAAGCAAGGTTTTTTCCTGAAATTTAAATAGGATTTCAGAATTTCAGGATTATTTTTTCCAAGAATCCCATTTGAATCTCATTATTTTGAAAGTTATTTTTCCAAGAGAAGATTCTATATAGCTTATAACTAATAAATACAATAGTTAGATCATCTTGCAAAAGTCATTCATAAGATTATTTTTAGTGACTACAATGCTGTGCAGTTGCATGTGAGTATGCCCCAATGACTTCATTCAGACTTACACAGATGCAACATTACTGGATGCAATTTCATAGTTTTAAAAACATATTTGCTTAGAATCATATTAGTAGTATTAGTGCATGTAACTAAGGCATTAAACACTTTTGTAAAATACATAGGCCAAATTAAAATATTCAATAAAAAAAATTCCAGAAATTCACAAATAGAGTATTAAAAACAGAAACTGTCAGCAATAGAAGCATACATTGAAAGCTACTCCCTTTCTACTTTGAAGTTCCCTTTTTCAAAACAGTTGAGTAATTTGCTAATACAACATGTGGGCTTGATTAAATTCTTACAGAGAAGCATTGTTTGAATAGTTTTTAGTATATCTGCTGCTGGTGAAAAACACTTTTTAGTCTAATATAGACTAAATCCTAATATAGATACAATTCACAAGCACAAACAGGGCATGTAAACCACTATTGTGCAAGAGGTGCAGAAACCTGGCTTACTATGCAACTAGCAAGAGACCAATATGGTATCACATGAATAACAGGAGTCATTACCCCACAGAAAGTGGCATCCTGGTTTGCATACTAAACACTGCATTCTGAGATGTGCAGCAGCGCTAGAGCAGCTGGACTGAAATTAGGCCAGTCTGCATAGTTTGCACAGGTGTAAACAGGGACGATGTATTAAAAGAATAGTGGGGAATATAATAATCAATAAAATCTTGTAATTTCTTTAGTCACCCCTCGAGTCAAAGTCTTTTTAAATTTTGCATTATTATTTTAATCAACTCCTTGGGTGAAGCTGTATGTTCAATCAAGTGATAAGGCTTAGAAGCATCTGTATGTCCTTTCGATGATGGAATTAAATTCCCATGGACTATAATATGCAACATAACTTTGTAGGTTTCAGCGTATTGATAAAGAATGACTAAAGTTTTGATTATTTTAATTAAAGCCAAAGGTATTTGAGCTCATACTGGATGTGTGTGTGAGATATAGCAACAATTATTTTGAGTTGTTGAAGAACCAGGAGGACCCAATATAAAGCCATCACTTCTGTGCAGCAAGTAATATTATAAGCACACCTATAAGTTTCTCTTTTTTCAAACTGAACCACAAGACACTTTTTCATCCTCTCAAAGTTTAAAGTGGAGCCTATTTGTCTTGTTGGTAAGGGTGGGGGATGGCTAAAAGCAGAGAAAGGGGAAGGAATTCTTGTGCAATACAATAATGTTTTATGGTCAAAGTGTAGCTGTTAACTTTGGAGCAATGTTCTTCTTGGCTTACCTCAAGTCCTCTCAAAACCCATTTTCAAAATGACAGTTGTACAAGCTATTGTGTTAAGAAACTGCAAAAAATAAATTGGGCTTCTCATATGTCATATCTATTCCAGTGCTACCCAATATGCGGATCCACAGACCTGTTTGGCCATTGGTCCCAGTAACTCCATCACAGCCCTGGTTGGGTGGGATGCATCAGGTACCAAATATGGTACCAGTCCCTGACACTTGCAGGAGGAAGGGGGGGAGATGCCAGTCCACCATATCAGATAGCTTGAGAAACACTGGTCTAGTCAATAAATACTTTAGTTGGGGAGTATTTAGACTTAAACCAATGTATCAAAAAACAACAACATACTTCTTTTTAAATTTATGAATCTTTGGCAGAGCCCTGAGTAAGGACTTCCACTTGCTCAACAGGGCTTACACCCCTCTCTTCCTCCTGAATCCACCAACAGTGGTCAGGGTGGGGGACTTGGGAGAACCCTCAGAACAGTATATGGTGGGAAGAGAGGGGGCATTCTTCCATCTGGCAAGCTGTAATGCTTGCACAGACAGAACATTCATCATAGCCCAATGTTCAATTCCACTTTTAGTTTGTATTAAAGCCTCAACTTCCACCGCTCATAATTTTTGATAAATATGTACAGAACAGCCAGCATGTTTTTTTCCTTTTTGTCTTGTAATTCTTAACTAAAGATTCACCCTTGTGGTCTCAAACCAGTATCGATAGCACAGTACTTTATAAGTGAGCATAGCTAATATTAAGTATAGATAATGGTTGTGTTTACACATAATGCTAAGCCATGGTTTGTTTTAATCATGATTTTTTTCAGAAAACCATGACCCATCTCAAGAGATAAGGCAACAAACAATGAATTGTTTCTCCAAAACGTAATTTTTTTCCCCAGCTGCTTTTGCCTTGTGCTTCTGCAGCCTGACAAGCAACTAGGGTGGAATATCAAAATAAACCATAGTTAAGAAAGGCTGCTGCATTTTTACATAACTCCAAACCATAGTTAAAACAAACCACAGTTTGCAAACCAACAAGAAACCATGGCTTTACATAACAGTTTGTTCCTAGAAAACAATGGTTAGTCTGCAGGGCAAAGTTCAGATGTTCAGACAAACCATGGCTTAGTGTTATGTGTAAACCAGACCACTAAGTACAGATATAGATCTACCATTCAACACAACTGTTTTAACCTTTATTATAGCACATTGCACTTTAGGTAATTTGTTCTTAAAGGTAAAAGAAACAGGGCAAATCTTAAGTCAAGAAGAACAAAATAAAAGACAACCTGTGCAATATATTAAATCTGAGGGCAGAAAACAGAGCTCATGTTTATACTATCTGCTGAACTAATATCAGATATGCTGCAGACATCTAGTACTATAAAAAGTGCTTGCTGATACATATAGAAGCAAATAAAGTATTTATTTCACATACCTGCGTCTAATTTCAGACAGGAAGGCAGCTCTTTTGATAAAGTGGTGAAATAGCTATGTAATCCTTTGAATGCAATCAGCAAACTGGCACAAAGTGTACGGTGGAGATTGTAAGCATGATTCAAGAAAGTCTCTGCTATTATAAAACTGCAGCCCTAAAAATAGATTTGTAAAGTTATCAATTCAGCACTAACAGTTACAGCAAAATTACATTTAAAGATTAAGGTAAGGACAGGTCACAAAAAGGTGTGTCTAAACACAGCATTTAGCTCCCCACTTCTGGTGGTAGTCCTCCATGCCCGTCTACAAGAAACTCCCCTAAGACTGGGGCATTTTCACCTCCAGAGCAGCAGCTATGAGGAAATGTTATTGGACAGAGAATAAGAAAACTAATGACATTTCCATGCACATGCAGGACATTCAGGGATGAAAGCTGCAATTCTGTACCATACTACTTTTTCAATAGGACTTTTGAGTAAATACTTAAAGGAAAAACCTCAGTGTATTTAAGAAAACAATACCGTGGCACTGTAAAACCGTCTCTATTATGCAGTATCACTGAAAAGTAGTCAACACTTCAAGAAATGTTCTAAAATGCCCAATTCCTGACTAACACATTTTGTGCAACTGCACTGAGATACAAATCCTTTGTGTGTTAAAAATAATGTTGTTAAATATTTATCATTTCTTTCAGCAATTAAAAAAATAAAAACGATTACAATCTTACATCAGCTGATAATTGTTTGGTGTAATTGCTGCCAAAAACAACACTTTCAAGAGAAGGAATCACAGAATCTCTGTTCTGTGCGGGTGCATTTCTGTTTAGCCAAGTATTTTTGACAGGACGAGGAAAGCTAAAAAAAAGGGGGAAGAAAGAAAAATGTCTGAGAGAGGGGCAGAGGAGAAAACAAAATTCAGAATAGAAATGCAAGGTGAATTAGAGACACATGGGCGAAGAACACACAGCATCATTTTAAGCCATAACCCAACATATTCTTTTAAGGTGTCTGCTGCAACGGGGAGGTACGTGCCAGTGTACCTCCTAGAATCTAGAAGGCGGATTCTGATAAGAAATGTAGAAAGTTTGCAAGTATAATTTGGCAGGTGAACAAATGGAAAACACTGGCTGGAATCTAAAAACCTATATAAGTGATATCGGTTACCGATGATCACTTGGGGTTACAGCAGCACCCATACCATAAGGTAAACCACTTTTGAAATTAATGTGGCTTTCAAAAGCAGTTCTTGATATGGCAAGGGGTGTATGTGTATATAAGCAGTGGGTCTGCAACTTATGCTCACTTTACATACATGAGCGCAACCGCTTATGGGGGCAGGAATAAATAAATAAAGAGTGGGGAAAACCCACTGTTCTCTACTCTCCATTTATTTATTTCCCCATAACCCATGCATCCAGCTGGTTTTCCTTGTTTATTGGGCTCTGGTAAGGTTGTGGGAGGTCCTGGGATGCTCCCAGAACCCCCACACTTCCTTTCCAAAGCCCAGTAAGCAAGACAGCATCTTTCTAGGGCCCTTGTGAAACCTTCCCAGAGCCTGGTAAGCAGCCATCTGCCGGGGGGAGAGGGGCTGTTGGAAGACATGTAAAAAAAACACACACACACTCAAATATATGTCTAATTTTAGATTTAGTTTAAAAAATGCATCACATGTGAGAAGATGCAGAGTCTTATTTACATATACTGTCTAAAATTTACAGCTTCTAAATAAAGCACTGTGCATAAAGAATCTTGTATAGTGTCATCCAGGACTTGCAGAGAAATTAAGTATCACTTATCCTTCCTTTGGCTTGTAGATCAAACAGTTCCAACCATTTCTGGTTGTATTTTGTTAAGACAAAAACAAGGACTTAAGCAATTTTAAGACAATTGGAAGATAACCAGAAATGCAGTAAGGTACAACAGCGCACTCCAATTATACCATATATGCTAAGTTAAATAGCTCAGGGCGGCTAACAACACTAAAATAGTGCAACATTATAAAACATCATAAGAATTAATTAAAATCAAAATTGATGGCAACCATAAACTAAAGTATTGTAAAGATTGCCAAAGGAGGGAGTCAGGCTGTGCCCTAACCAAAGGCCTGGTGGAACAGCTCTGTCTTGCAGGCCCTGCGGAAAGATGTCAAGTCCTGCAGGGCCCTTGTCTCTTGTGACAGAGCGTTCCACCAGGTTGGAGCCGCAGCCGAAAAAGCCCTGGCTCTAGTTGAGGCCAGCCTAACCTCTCTGTGGCCTGGGACCTTCAAGATGTTTTTATTTGAGGACCGTAAGTTCCTCTGTGGGGCATACCAGGAGAGGCGGTCCCGTAGATACGAGGGTCCTAGGCCGTGTAGGGCTTTGAAGGTTAAAACCAGCACCTTAAACCTGATCCTGTACTCCACCGGGAGCCAGTATGGGCTAGAGTAGCAATAAGCAAGGACATTAGGCTCACACACAGTCAGTGAAAGAAACTTTTACCCCCAGCTTAGGATCTGAAGGGAAAGTTGTGCAGTGAGAATGTGCAAGCTGTAGCAGCAAATACAGCCCAATCAACTTCTCTGCATCATCTCCCTGTTTGTCCATTACACTCATACATTACTAGTCTAACCCAGGAGTAGCCACACATTTTGTTGCCTGTGTGGGATTGTGACTTTGGTAGACTCCAAATCCACACTCCCTTCTACTGCAAGACCTTTCATGTGATGCTCGATCAACACATTCAGTGTAAGAGAAGTGCACTGTATATGTGAAGAATGATCAGGGAAGAATACCATCACTATTATTTGTTTCCCTTCCACCACCTTTAGCAAGCAGAACATTTTAACTGAGTTAGGACGACTTCCGAAGAAACCATAAAATCAGAGGAAGACATTATTGCCACCATAACAGAAGAACCTCAACAGATGGACAGACCTTTGCCAAGAATAGAAATGGCAATAGACAGCAAAAGCACTAACACCGTCCAGGAAAGGCAACTCATCTTCTCCATTTGCCACTAACCATAGCCAACAGCTAATCCTTCTAGCTTCCAATTCTGGATAAGAAGATTCTTCTCCTTCCAGCAATCCACCATGCCTTTCTCCTACTAATCTGTGGCACAAATGGCTGTGTTACAAAAGGAAACACACAAACTGTATTCTAAAAGGGCAGGGGGAAATCCTTTGTGAAGAGTTAACGCAGCCTTCTCTGAGCTGTCACCCTCCAAACATTTTGGATAATGCCCATCAGCCACAGCCAGTGCTGTACTGGATGAGACTGATAAAGAGTTGTAGTCCAAAACATCTGGGGAGGATGTCAGGTTGCTGAAGGCTGAGCTAAGGTGTTTACAGTAATTTTCATTTTGCCTCTTTCACTGGTGTTTTATTACGCTAAACATGAAGCATGTTACAGCACGCATGTTTTAAACTAGGGGTTATGCCCTTGCTTACTCTGCTTGCTGACACCCCACCACACATTAACCCCCTAGAGCAGAGGTTTTCAACCTTTTTGGGTCCATGGCTCCCTTAACCAACCAAATTCTTTCTGTGGCACCCCTGTGGGGCTCAAGAGCCCAGTTATGTCACCCCTTCCCTGCAGAGCTGGCAGTCCCTCGCCCCTTTTCGAAGCCTCCCTCGTGGAGTGTTCCCTCAGTCTCCTCTCTTCTCCCCTCTCCTTGGGAGTCCTCTGGGCATCTGTAGCTGCCCCCCCTGCCCCCAAAGAGAGGTTCTTCCTCACACTGCCCCACAGGGGCCTGGGAAGCAACTCCTGGCGAGCCCAGAGATACCATTCGCCTGGGGAGCTTGTAGCCAGGGCTGCTGCAACAAACAGCTGTGCAAGCCTTTGGGAGGCAGAAACGTGAGAGGGCATCAGAGAAGGGAGGGAAGGAAAGAGAGGCAGAGGCCAGTTCATCCAGTTCTGGGGCTTTTTACATGCTGCTACCAGTAGAGATCCCACTAGTGGCATTTCCACCTACTCTCAGGTTTGGTGGGAGGCAAGTAGGGATGGGCAAAGAGATGCCTCCATTCAATCCAACAACACCCCACAGACTGGCAGAAAGGTGGCTAGGGACTCTGCCCCTAACAGAATATCCCAGAGAAAGAGATAAACCAGAACACTGCCACAATTCCTGTACTAAAAGCACTAAAAGCAAGTTTATCATAGCCTAGGCCACCAAAGTAAACAAGGCAATCTAAATTCCATTAAAATAATCATGAACTGCATCACTTCATTACTTGATTAAAACTAGGGCAGAGGTTTTTCTAGCAGTTATGGTTGTGTGGTTTATCATTCAGCAGCTCCTGGGCTTACCATCTCCTTTCTATTCCAACAAAAAACTGGAACAGAAATTTCAATTAAATTGAACGGATATTTATAATACTCAGGGTTTACATAGAACTAGTCACTGGTATGTATAATACACATTTCAAATAATCACCACTCCAACTAAATTACTATCACTTTAATGACCAAACCAACAAGCAATTAATTATTTCATTTTATTAAATGATTAATTTAAAAAGTATAAAATCAATATTAAATTACCTTATTAATGGTTGGTGAAGCGCTACTAAAGAGGCATGGACTATAACAGAGATGACAGAAAGGTGAAAGTAATCAAACATAACATTGACATAGTGATGAAGGCCTCGGTTTAAGGTAAAGTGCAACTTTAGTGTTCTGCTGCTAATTAGCTGCAATGTGCTCAGGTCATCTGGCCTAAAAGAAAAAGAGTATAATCACAACCAACATTTTGAAAGTAATTTAATACTACAATAATGCAAATCAATGCTTCAAATCTCCTGTACCATAGTTACTATAAAACAAATCCATCAAGATCTAATTATTTTTTTGATATGCAGGACCTGCAATGAAATAATGGTGCTCTGTCCAGTGAAATAACTGAAGTCTCCCTTATACATCTCAATATTTTTGTATACAGAGGATTTTGCACATAACTACCCATGTTTAACTCACAATGAAGGCAATATAACCTACATATGTGGAACTGCACAAATTTGACTATCATTTTTTATATAAATATCTGATGGAAAAATCTGTTAAGATGGAAACAAAATATAATGCCAACAAATATAGGCATCTATCTCTGGAAAACCTCTCAAATAATTAGTTCCCTACCCACCCACAACTTCAATAACTTTTAGAAAGTGCATGCCTAATTCAAGGGCTGTTTTGCTTGCAGGAATTTCAGTACATCCACGGACTTCACAATCCCAGTTTCCCATTGCTTTAACATTAGGGGGAACGCTACATGAAAATGTGGTTCAGTTTCCACCAACACTGAAACAAAGAATTCCTTGATGCACAAAGAACTTTGAGCAAAAACCATTTCTCTAAAAGTAGAAAGAGCAAGAATATGAATGTTTAGTTTTAAACTTACGAATAATCTGTATCTGTAAAGTGTAGATCTAAAGAGAGCAGGAAATTCATTTCATTCAGAGACTCTTCAATCTAGACAGGCATTTCAGAAGAACAATTATATATTATTGTTATTAATACAAACTATGGTTTTACTATACAATCATATCCAGACTTATTAACTTATTTTTTTTAAAAAAATTATATCCTACCCATCTTGCTGGGTTTCCCTAGCCACTCTGGGTGGCTTACAATACATATAAAAACAAAACAAAGCATCAAACATTAAAAAACAAAATATCCTGTACGAGCAACAAACCACCCAATAAATCAATAGAAACCGATAACAACAACAGCAATAATAAACAATTTACTATTATACTCAAATTAAAATAAACACCAACCCTAACTAAACATTTGACCAACATCATCCCGACAAAAACAAAACAGAGGAACCAAAATTAGAACCATTTAAAATATTTTAAAACATTTTAGCTAGTTGCCCCAACCCAAGAGTTGTTCCAGCAATGTCCCTCCGGCATCCCAGGAGCCTCTTTTAGGAAGGACACAAAGTGGCTTCAAATCATTGTGAAGGTACCGTATTTTTCGCACTATAGGACACACTTTTTCCCCTCCAAAAATGATGGGGAAATGTGTGTGCGTCCTATGGTGCGAATGCAGGCTTTTGCTGAAGCCTGGAGAGCGAGAGGGGTCCGTGCGCACCGACCCCTCTCGCTCTCCAGGCTTCAGGAAGCTATCCCAAGTCTTGCAAGCCCGGCGGGATGTCCCGCGGGCTCGCAAGGCTTGCGGGCAGCAGCCTGCACCCAAAAGCTGGGGACAGCGGGGAGGCGCAGAGTCGCCACCCCGCTATTCCCCGACCTGATCTGGAGGCTGGCGGGGGGAGAAGCAAGCCTGCTTCTCCCCCCCACCATCCCCACAACCTCCAGATCAGGTCGGGGAATAGCGGGATGGCGGCGCTCCGCCATCCCGCTATTCCCCGACCTGATCTGGAGGCTGGGGGTGGGAGGAGCAAGCCTGCTTCTCCCCCCCCAGCCCCACAACCTCCAGATCAGGTCGGGAAATAGCGGGATAGCGGCGCTCCGCCATCCCGCTATTCCCCGACCTGATCTGGAGGCTGGGGGTGAGAGAAGCAAGCCTGCTTCTCCCCCCCACCATCCCCACAACCTCCAGATCAGGTCGGGGAATAGCGGGATGGCGGCGCTCCGCCATCCCGCTATTCCCCGACCTGATCTGGAGGCTGGGGGTGGGAGAAGCAAGCCTGCTTCTCCCCCCCCCCCAGCCCCACAACCTCCAGATCAGGTCGTGGAATAGCGGGATGGCGGCGCTCCGCCATCCCGCTATTCCCCGACCTGAACTGGAGGCTGGGGGTGGGAGAAGCAAGCCTGCTCCCCCCCCCAGCCCCACAACCTCCAGATCAGGTCGGGAAATAGCGGGATGGCGGCGCTCCGCCATCCCGCTATTCCCCGACCTGATCTGGAGGCTGGGGGTGGGAGAAGCAAGCCTGCTTCTCCCCCCCCCAGCCCCACAACCTCCAGATCAGGTCGTGGAATAGCGGGATGGCGGTGCTCCGCCATCCCGCTATTCCCCGACCTGATCTGGAGGCTGGGGGTGGGAGAAGCAAGCCTGCTTCTCCCCCCCACCAGCCCCACAACCTCCAGGCTTCAAGAGAGCCCCACCGCCAGCCCCACAAGCTCGGGGACAGCGGGAGAGGCGCAGCGCGCCCTTCCCGCTGTCCCCCGACTTGGCTAGAAGGCTGGCGGGGGGAGAAGCCTGCTCCTCCCCGTCGCCAGCCCCGCAAACTCGGGGGGACAGCGGGAGAGGCGCAGCGCGCCTTTGCCGCTGTCCCCCGACTTGTCTAGAAGGCTGGCGGGGGGAGAAGCCTGCTCCTCCCCGTCGCCAGCCCCGCAAACTCGGGAGACAGCGGCAGGGGCGCAGCGCGCCCTTTCCGCTGTCCCCCGACTTGGTTAGAAGGCTGGCCCAGCCCCGCAAACTCGGGGGACAGCGGGAGAGGTGCAGCGCGCCATCCCGCTGTCTCCCGACATGGTTTGGAGGCTGGCGGAAGGCTTCCTCCTCCCCCAGCCCCCGCAAGCTCCCAGAGCGATGCCAAAGCTGCGCGCAGCTTCGGCATGGCTCTGGGTCCCGTTCTGGGGGAGGGGGAAGCTCGGGCTTCCCCGCCCCAGCCCCGCGCCTGGCGGGGGGGGGGGGAATAATTTTTTTTGCCTTTATTTCCCCCCCAAATCTAGGTGCGTCCTATGGACCGGTGCGTCCAATAGTCCGAAAAATACGGTAACTACAAATATACATGCATGAATACAGGGGAATAATGAAAAAAAATGAAATGACATCAACAGCAAATAAATAAAAATGTACTGTGTATTTTGGGTCTATGGAGCACAATAAAGATCTTACAAAAGAATGGCAGATAGAACAGTCAACTGCAATTCTTCTTCTTGAACACTAATCAAGTTTTAAAACACCTGGATGACTAAGAGAATCCTAGATCTTGTCCTGGATACTGATCATATAGAATGGTCCTATTTTAATGCTATGCTCCCATGTCTGCAAGGCGGAGAGGGGATCATTGCTAAATCTTCTTGTATTGGTTGAGGGCAAAACCACATTGGAATAGGGAATTCATATTGTTATAACCTTTTGAATGGCAACAAGAATCTGCAGTGGACCAACCACAGTAAAGGGAAGAACTGGGTGTGTTGGGGGCATACTGGAAGAGAAGTGGAAGTTAGTCAGAATTCTGATCTCACTTATGCTAAACGTGCTAAGTTAATGCACTACCAACTGAAATCAATGAAGAGCTCTTAAATGCTTCCAACTCAATGGGGCCATAGGAGACTGTACTGTCATCTATTCCTGGGAGTTTTCTTGTCTTGTTGAAGGAGTATGTTTGTAATGGGCAGGAGAATGTCATGGCATTATTATTCTGCTGCTGCATGTTTACTGGCTGCCTTCCTTTAATGGGCAATATTGGTGTGCAACGCTGTAGCACCCAGGGATGCTGCGGGTGTATCTGTTAGCACTTCAACATTAACATTTATGTCCACATCTACTGTTGTTGTTCCTGGTGCACACAGGATTGATTGTGTGGTAATTCGTCAAGCTATTTTAACAGTTAAATATAATCTATTACCTTTCTTTCATCCAACAGCATTTTAATTTTGAAGATCATAACATCATCCACAGACACTTCTTCATTTTTATAAAGAATTTGAAAGGTTTTACTGCAGACTACATTGTCATGGACTGAAGCTGGAAAGGCAAGATCAGCACCTAAAGAATATGGATAAGAGGCAATCAAGGCTCAAAATATCCTGATTCTACGTCTACTTACAGAATGACAACTGTACCATGTTTTGGCTTCATTTTAAGAAATGGTTATTTGTAATAATTAGTTTTGTCATTCATATAGCATATTCTAAAAAGACTGTCCATTCAAACACTTGAAAGCTGGTTTGACAGCAAGTAAGGAAGGGCATTCATAGTTACTTTAATAGATAACAGTAACATTTACAAATCAGTTCCCAGCGCCAGTGTAAATTTACAGGCAAGGTATAAAAGGAGTGATGGAAGTAACGAATAAGCTGCAGGTTAATGAAAAGTACAGTAAATCCAAGAGAACCCGGAACACAGTATAAAACTACTTTTACACTTCAACTTTTTTTTTTTTTGCCTTTTCAAACGATCCACTAAATTGTCAGTAACCGCTTAAATATTTTGTTAAATACAGCACTGTTAGCATTTCCAGTTTGAGAATGAAGGCTCTTAAGATTTCTCAAAGGGTAATGTTTTTTGTCAAGACCCAAGTACTCATTTTAAGCAGCCCTCCAACAGGCAACAATATATGCACAAATGGCCCTAAAGTTCGCAACCACTGTCAGAAGTATTCACATGACGCAAACTGGTAATTTTTGCTTATCTGATGGACAGCCCTTTGGGAAAGGGAGAGGATGTGGTCCTGCAAATTCATCTTTTCTCCTGCAGACAGCTCTCCACCACCAAGCATATTCTAGAGCAGATGGGAGCCACAGAGGTAAGGCGAAATAAGCAAAAATTGTATTCTTCCTCGGTTAACCTAGCGTTTGCTGGAACAAAGAGTCTTCCATCATGGGAAGGACACAACCTTTTACATTTCTCCAAGATCTTTAAAACCAAGTGTTTTCACCTATCTTAAGCTTAATTAATCAAGTAATCAAAAAGTATATGGTTAATTAACTAACACATCTTTAATCATTTCGGAGTTCTCCTTTATTAAATAGTAATTAATTATTCACTCAAATAGTAATGAAAAGATGTTTACTTACTGGTTGCACGTAACAGGCTTGCTTCAATTTTGTGTGGAATTCTTGGAGGAATCTTCATTGAGACACGAATCTGGTAAAAGCTAAAGTAAACAAAATTATTTTCAAACTAATACTGTTTTAACATAACCTGATATGTATATATTTTAAATATTACTACCCTATTTCCCCATCAAGCGTGGTCTTCAAGAGGGCCATAAAAAACACTTAATGAAATCAGTTATAAGAGCATTTTATACACTACTGTTAATCGTAATTAAAATAATTCAATACCAATTAGCCAGAGGAGAAAGAGAAGCATAAGGTCAAAGTAAAAACCAGTTAAACATATTATCATAACTCCACTAGCCAGGTTTGCATTTCTTAATTACAGTAGGCTTCTTATGCAGCTTACATTCCTACTCAGATGTGCAGAGAAGCCACTGATCCAATTTGGGGCCAGGATTTTTTCTGAAAATCTCTATGTTGAGATCGCACACAAGGACTTCTGATTTCTGTCACACTTCATTATCTCATTGAGAACTGATTTTTGTTTTTGTTTTTATTGGTTCCATTATAAACAGGAACAATTATTGTATATGCTATGTTATGTTATTCTATGATATTATATCATATGTTATCATATGACAACATATGCTATTCTATGATGTTATTCTATGCTATTACCACAAAATTTTCATAAAATGTTTATTACTACTTATTACAATAAATCAAGCTGAAGCATTTGATCAATGATGTTACTGATCAGATTTCCAATCTATTTTGCTTACTTAATGGGTTCTTTAGTATGCAGCCAAACAAATATTTTTCTTATTACAACTTAATTAAGTGGGTTTGCATGTGAGCATCTGAAGTTAGGTTGTGAAAATGCTTCATTTATTTTTCAGTTTTTCTTTCACTACAAATCCCTAGCTCTGGAAAAAAACTTAAATCTCACATGATCAACATAATCCACATTTTACTACATGAGCAATACAAAAACAGGTGGCTTCAGACACAATGAAGATTCTACTTTATGATAGAAAATAGTTTCCAATAACAAATATTTACTTGCTAATCCTAATATGTTAATCTCACCAGGGTCAACTCAGGCAAAGTATGCCAACAGGTTAAAATTCAATTCCTGACCTCCAAAATTCAATTCCTGACCTCTGAAATAATAGCCTAACTACAAGTCATAAAGTATATTAAACTATGCTTCAATATTTTAAGAGAACAGCTTTAGATAGGGATGCGGATTTTAACATCAATATAATTGATTAATTAAAATAATTGTTAAATCAACTGATGCTTTAATCCCATAATAAGACTGATTTAACTGAAGTACTTAAATGAATACAGACTACACTGGAGGCACACATATTCCAGCTCCCTAATACTTCGGTCAAAATTAAAGTTTAAAAAAGACCCTCCTGGTTTCTGCCCAAAAGATAGCAGGTATTTTGATTTCAGGCTAAAGATATGAAGTTTCCTCCTAGCAAGATAAAAAATCAGCAACTAGGACAATTAATGTTCAACTGAGGCCCACTGTGAAGAACACTTTTCAAATCATCATACAGATGGGATTTAAGGCCTCCTACATCTGAAGTCATTCTGCTTTTTAAAAAAAAAAATTTTTTTTTTGCTGTAACAGGAAATATTCAAGACTTGTAAGACATTAAAAGCGCCCTTTCTTCAAACAATAAATGGTAGATTTGTTTAAGAAATTAGTTCTTCCAGATCAGACACAATATGCCCTTCCTTTCATAGTCCCATAAAGTATCTAAACACTTAAATTCACAAAGCGGGGTTCAGAGGCAGTTTGAAAGAAAACAGGGGACCATGCGTTCTCAGCAGAAGGCTTACAGGAGGAATAGCCTATGTTACACCTTCCACATGTGGACTACAACTCCCATTAGCACCTGCCAGCAGTGCTTTTTTCTCTCTAGAAAAATAGGTGTCAGTACTCACTGTGAAGTTGTTACAGCAGGCATAGGCAAACTCGGCCCTCCAGATGTTTCGGGACTACAACTCCCATCATCCCTAGCTAACAGGACCAGTGGTCAGGGATGATGGGAATTGTAGTCTCAAAACATCTGGAGGGCCGAGTTTCCCTATGCCTGTTGTTACAGTAAGTGCCACACTTTTTAACAACAAAAAGAGGTATTGGTAGTGCGTTCCCTTGAGTACCCCTGAAAAAAAGGCTGGCGACTTGTAGCCTACAACATCTGGAGTGTACCACATCAGTTTCGCCTGACTTAACCAAGCAACAAGCAGAATATTGTATAGTATATTCCCCAATGAAGGGTGTAGCTGTTGTTTTTGAAATACTGAAGTCAACTGCCTCTAGAACCACTTTTTGAATATTTGCTGTCTGTTTGGGTAAGTAGGCCACCCCCTGGCCTAACCTAATCATCTTTACTAGGTAGATTAATGTGTTGTATTTCCAACCCTCAATTAAAATAATTTACTTATTATACCACCCTCAATTACTATGCATGCAATGCAAAACTTTGCAGAACTTATTAACGCAATATTGAATTTGCACTCAGCTGGAAATTTTTCAGCTCAAATTATACTACCTTCCAGAGGTAACATTTCACTTGCTCTTACTAGTTCCAGATAGCTCTCTTAGTACTACTATATCAACATTCCATATGGTGGCTTGCAGGAATAGCCAGAGGATATCTCTCAGCTGTCTGAAGCAGCAAAGAAACTGCCAAGGCAGCTGAGGACACCAGTTGGCAAATACCAAAAACAAGGCAGATATAGAATGTTCTGCTCTTTCATAATAGATGGGCAAATGTCAGTGCTTTTCAGAACTGAAACATCTCACAAACATTTTATATTCAGAACATGACATGCATAGTTTGTATGCAATTAATTCAAGGAAATAAATCAACAAGACAGAAAGATGTGATAAATACAGACAACTCCCCATTTATGTGGGGGTTACATTCCAGACCTCTGCAGGCATCAGTGAAACAAGCGTAAATGAGAAGCATACTGGAGAGTGGCTTGTGAGGAGATCCATCCCAGAACCCAAAGAGGACATCCTCTTCAAGCTCTGGAGAGGGTCTCCACGAAAGCTGAAGGGGCAGCGAGGCATGCTCAGCTGACACCCAAGGAAGTGGTGGTGGCGGCTGATAGACAGGGAGGCTGAGCAACCTCAAGAAAGCCCCGCTGTCCCTCCAGCTCATGAGGTGACCCTCCCCGGAGCCCAAACAGAATGTCCTCTTCATGCTCTGGGGACGGTCTCTTTTCACAAGCCAGGAGGTCTCTCCAGGGTACTTCCCATTTCCGGGTTCCTGGCACAATGCGTGTGCGAGGACATGCACGAATAGATCATGTGTAAATGGGGATTTGCACATATGTCTAATTCTGTCCCCTTAAAAAAAGGAATAGAAAGTATGATCCCAAAGAAAGCCCAATACCCAGGGCATAACCCCAAAAGGGTGACTGTTGTAGAAAGAAAAATATCTGAATCAGATTTGGAAGCAAACAATATATTGATCACAGAAGACAACTGCATTATAAACAATGGAACCAGAATTTTATCTGAATGAATTGTGGCCACCTTGAATATCAACATGCTGTCATTTTACAAATATCAAATATGGACATTTTATTTAACTCAATATTCTACAATACTGAAAGGATGGAATCTAGTAGTTAAGACTGTAATTCTATACACACGTATATTTGAATTTCTGAGTAGGTATAGAATGCAGTTCTATGCACACTTAGCAATTAGCCCTACTTTCCTCAATGAGACTTCCTTCTGAATAATGCATAGGATTGTGCTGTAAAACACTTCTGACTCAATTTAAGTCATACAATGACTGCATTTGCACATCACAGTAGGCCAGGGTTGGGAAACCTTTTCTGGCTGGCATGCCTGATCTTTATCTCCCAACCCCTAGATGGCTAAATGTAACAGGTGGGTGGGCCTGTGCACGTGTCAATCATCTGAACACAAACCTGAACACAAACTACTGCCCACTGGATACGTCTTCAATACATGGCAACCAATAAAAATAAGGTTACCATCCAAGCACCACAAACACAATCAGGGTGTTCTCTTGACTAAATAATTACATTGCAGTCAGTCCATCTTCCAGTTGGCAATGGACCACAGCACAAAATGAGTAAGTAGACGTGCGAGCAAGGATCTTTAGGCGATTACCAATCATTTTCATAAAAATACACAGCTGCTTACACCCCCTAGAGCACCCCATTTTCCATAGATAAACAAAAAGGCTTATCCTGCCCCGGCTCAGTGTTCTGAATGCTCCCACCGACACCACCTGAAAACAGAGAACTTTTATCCATGCATACGAGAGAACATGTAAACCAAGCTTAAGTTGTCTTATAATTTTATTCACGATTGATGCCACACAGATTAGTGAATTTTGATTCCTGACCGTCTCTAAGATGCGATTTAAAGTAAATATATATATATATCCAGTTACAAAATGAGCATCTTTTGTTGCTCCATAGTTAAGACACAATGTTAAGGATTGTGTATTTTTCACAAGACACCTTTTCTCAGGATTTGCAGGCATTCATTAATCTTCCATATAAATATCTCAGGAATTAACACCATCAGAACATATAATATTTGTTGTATGTTACCTACCCTCTTTGAAACAAATCCACGTTATAAAACTTGTGGAGCTCCACGGAGAATTCTACCATTGCCTGTACTTCACTCATTTTTATGTAGATGCAGAAGTCCAAGAACTGTTGTCGGCACCTTATTTACTGCAGAGATAGAACACAAGATATGTGAGATGTGCTTACAGCTGATTACTCCATGACCTAACCCTGGAATGAACTATGAACAAGTTTCCTGCTTCATACATATGTCCTTAATGAATAAATGTTACATAACCCTTTCTGTTTTGCTTATCTGCTTCCCCATACAATAGCAACAGAAACAGATGCTCCAGCTTGACCTCCACCTTCAAAACAAACAATACATTTTCAATGCAAAACTAGTTGTATACAATACAAAGGAATTGAAATAAATAAATTTGTTTACCTAAGGTGGAAATCCTAAGCACACCTGATAGGAAGTAAATCCCATAAAATTCAATGGGAGTACTTCCAAGTAAAATATGTTTAGGATTGGGCTGCAAAGCAAATTTTCATTCTTCAATTACTCTTAGAGCCGTAAAGCACCCCTTACACAGATTTGGGTAATGAAGGGATAAATAAAACTGCCTCGATTTGTATGAGTGGAAAAATACACAATCCTTAACATTGTGTCTTAACTATGGAGCAACAAAAGATGCTCATTTTGAAAAGCAACAATAAACTATGGTTTAGTACAGGGGTCAGCAAGGTTTACCTCGCCTTGGCCGGTTCACTCCAGCGGAGATCCCTCCGTGGGCTGGATTGTGCATGTGCATGAGTGCGCATGCCTGCAATTTCCAGCGTCTGCGCATACGCAATTTCTGGCGTCTGTGCAGATGCGACTTCTGGCACCGCGGAAGTGAGTCCCTGCGCCACGCCGGTTTAGCACAACACACAGGGACGTGCCAAGTGGGCGGCTCGGTTCGGGGGCGGCTCGGGGGTGGGCCACTTGTGGCCCATGGACCTTAGGTTGCCAACCCCTAGTTTAGTATGATATGCATGAGCATCAAAGAGCTGTGGGCTCCCTTTCTTCCTCTGGAATGGCAGTGAGAAGTTTGGAAACATTTGCTTCTATTTTTAAACTAATCAGAGTTCCTCACTGAATCCAAGCTCCAGGGAATTCAGGTTAGGTCAAAGAATTCCAACCAACCAATCATACATGCAGTCTGTTGGTGGTTTTTTTTTTAAAAAAAGTAACATACATGCAGAATATTGTTTTTTTAAAAAACAACAACTCAAGGGTACAGCTGCCCCAACCAGCTCAATGAGTAGTGAACGTGCTCAGTCACCTTCAGTTACCACAGAATGCTTAGCAAGAAAAGAAGATTAGGAAAAGCTGGGTGATAGCAAAGGGGCATACACTGCAACATACTGTTGCATAACTCACATATCAAGTGCATGTTATCAGTTTCTATTGTAATCATCTACATTTCATTCACCACAAGTAACATAAAAATGAGCTCTGCTGGTGCCATGGGTCTTTCTTTCCCTCTCCCCTCCCCATATATGCCCTCAAAATCCACTAAGGAGAGGAAGTTCCACTGGACACAGAAGGCTGTTGTGCCAGTTGAGTTGCAGCACTGGATACAGCCCTAAATTTCTAACATTAGACTGAACATTATTTCTCCTGAATAGGACTGCCACTTCAGTAGGGAAAACTTAAAATTTCAAGTGGAATATCCTCTCCTCATTGATATAATGTAATACTAAAGATGTAATGGGAGTTATACAGGCATGTTACAGAACTGGACACAAAACTATTTTTTTTTTAAAAACCAAGATTCCTTTTTACCTCTAGTAATAAATAATCCATTTTGATTAAAGCTAATACGCAGTCTTCCAGTTCCTAATTTCTGCAGTCAAGTGCATACTGCTTGCTCTGCAAGAAAAAGAAATCAGATGATTGTACACCTGAATGCAAGCCATCTACACAGAAATTGGTGCTCTTATTTTCTTTAATTCCCAATCACCCAGTTCACTAGTGTCATTAAACTATAGTTTAAAGCAAACTAAGTTTTAATATGAATGAGCAGCATGTTAATGTGCACTGCTCAAAAGTTCCCAAAGCATTCCTCCCCTGCTTGTGCAGATGCCTGTGTTGCTCAAACCCAGGCTCATGGTTTGTTTTCCCCAAATAAACCAGAAATTGTAACTATGGGTTGCTTGGAGGAAAACGACAAGCTTGTTCTTTCCACACCAGAAACAGGGAAGGAGAGCCTCTGGAACTTTGAGCAGTACGACTAACATGCTGCTCATTCATGTTGACCTGTAGTTTGCTTTAAGCTATGGTTTAATGTGAAGTTCCACTGAAGTCACGAAGTTCACTAAATTAAAGGAAGCATAAAAAGTGTATATGGAAAGCAGCTGATATGTCTTTGGAATGGTTTAAAAAAACAACCAGTTAATTCACTGCAATTATATACACAACAAATGTTCAGGTTCTGCAATGTTTACATCCATCTAGCACACCCAATATATAGGAGATTAAAGGCTTTTTTTAACTGCTGAAAGGATATGGGGTGGGGGTGTCCTATTCCCCATTAACTTTTCACAGGATACCCCCCCCCACTTGTAAGGGGTGCATCAAAGTTGCAAATATGTTACTTGTCAGCAAATACTGTAATGCATAATATGCCATGTTTAAGCTAAATGTATTCATTAGTTGTACTGTAGTTAACTTTTTATCTGAATACCTATACTGTACCATGTGTTATGGATTAGCCACAAACCAAGATTTCAAACTATGGCTTAAAGTTGGTCTGAAATTAACGGTTTCCATTAATTGTATTACACTCACACTGTATTACACTGCACTATTACACTGCACTGAACAAACCAGATATAGTTCTCCTACCTCCTCGCCTTCACTTGCTGCAAAGTGGCAAGCAGTTTTTACTGGTGTTTCCCAGTGGCCTCATATAGGAAATACAGCTTAATTTGGCAAGCTAAACTATTATTTAACTGTGGATTTGGGATCTGAACTGGCCTGAAGGCACAGGATTATTAGCTCCAGCTATAGCTATAGATACAAGACCTCTGATAAATGCTTTGTTACAAACAGCATATTATTCTAAGGTATAATTCCATCCTCTTTCCTGTGCCCCATGGAAAGCATACAGCTCAGCAGAAAATAAAATGTAATTTAAAAATCTTGAAATGGCATTTAGATGGCATTTCTGATCCAAGTGGATTATGTTGGCTCCAAATTCAGTATCAATATTTGGCTCTGGGAAATAGGCAGACTATATTGCCCATTCTTTCTTCAGACTGCAGCATAATGCCTGTTTAAGATTATAAAGGTCTATGTGCTGAAAAATCAACCCTGAATTGGGAACTCGGTATTTTCTACAGTATTAGTCACTAAAAGTGACCAAATTAAGACTAATAAAAGAAAAAGGTGGTAGGAGGACTGCAAAATGCTTCAATAACCATCTGAAAAGAAAGCTGTTTAAGCAGATTTATCCTCAGTTTCATTGAAATGGCACAAATAGCTCCAACCTTCTTGGCTATCTTAATTAAGCTCTTGCACAAAATAATGTGACTCTGCACGATGACCATTCAAAGATTCTGTTGTGGTTGAACGAAACAGGCAAAGAAGTTAAAGAAGGGATATAAAAGGATATAAAAACAAGGAAGCAACTTTATCCCCCATCAAATGACATCTGCAGAAAAAGTGACCATAGTTAGCTAAAGTTTTCCCATGTTGCCTGTAACACACAGTTCTGACCTAACAGTACATGGGGCGGGGAGCCACACACCCTCAAAATCCTCATTTATTGAGAGAGAGAGAGAGAGAGAGAGAGAGGGTGGGTAGAAAAAACCTCAAAGGGGGTTACAAAAAAGATAAAGCAGTAAGATTATCACTAAAAATTTATAACTGTATTTTAAAAACAAAGTGAAGGTTAAAAATCTAAATAAATTAGACTAAAACAAGTTGTGTCACTACCAACTGATTCTGTTTCCTACCTATACAAGCACATATCAATTGACTTGTTAAATAGGAAGCACAGTGAAGCTGATTAAACTGACCTATTAAAATAGAAGCACACCTGTCATTAAACAGTGGGGTACTGCACTCATGTATTGCTTACAGGTTTCTCATAGGAGTCTGGTTAGTCACTGTAGGAAGCGGGATGCTGGAGTAGATGGCCTTCCTCCAGCAGGGCTTTTTCTTATGTTCTTATGAATAAATTGTTAAAAAGCCCATTCTTCATACTTTACCCTTGCAGCCCATTATAAACTAGAAACAGAATACAGTAGGGTGTTGGGGTTTTGTTTTGTTTTTTAAAATCTCCCAAGTAATAGAAATGTATTCTGAAAAAAATCCTAAACTTTATTAAATTAAATACAAATTGAATTTCCAAATATACCCTTCTGCGCATTATTAACCGAAGGTTAAGCCTCTAGAGAAGTCAACGAGAGCTTTTGCATCAGCTTTCCCTGAAAATATATAGAGTATTCTGATAGGCCAACTCTTTTGTGAACATGGAAGGCGTGGTTTCCAAATATTCTAACTTCAGGGAACCCTTTTCCAAACGCCTTTGCCAAGGAAACCTTGTCACATAACCCCAAAGCACTCAATAGGATTTTGTGTTATGTTTTAGGGAGCACATTCAGTTTCTGCCTATTGTGTTTTGCCATTCCCCTTCACAAACTGAGTACACAATTCAGAACACATCCAGCTCTCTTCAGAAGCTATACATTGCAATGGGAATATTGGAAAAGGAGGACACATTGTTTTGCAGAGCAGCTTGTCTACTGCTGATTTTGTTTGTTTTGTTTTGTAGGAGAATCCCTGATATGGAATGCCCAGGTTTCCATAAATCACAAACTGGAAACCAATTGCTTAAATAAACTAAACTAAAGCTTAAAATTATATTTAAAAACTTTTTAGAAATGGACAGAAAAAGCTTTAAGTACATACTACAGTAATATTCAAGTTGGGAGTTGTGTACAGATCAAGTCCCACCTAACTCAAAAGAATTCTTTTTTTTTAATCATCATCAAAGTATATATATTACTTGATCGTCAAAAAACTCTATAAACAATTTTAAAACTACCAAACAAATTCAAAAATCAAAATAGACAAGTACATGATTGATATGGAATCATACAATTGTTAAAGGAGAAATATACATTCCTAAAACATTTATAATATATAGCTTATTTTTTTATTTACAATACTTAACCATAGATGTAAAAAAGAAAAGAATCGCCATAGTTTTATCTTTTACCTAGAAAAGGAGCCTTTGAAACTCGTGTTTGACTTATGGGTTTAAATCAAAATATATTCTCTTAAAAGTAAATTATGACCAAAGCCAAAGCATGGTTTGTGTCATTTCCCTCTTTCCTCCCCCAATAATTCCAGGTGCTATCCCAAACAGTAGACTCTGACAGCAGAACACCCTAAAGTATAGCACATAAATTTGAATACACCAAACTTTACTATGCTCAAACTATGGTTTGCAAATCAGCCATGATTTCAGGTACTAATCTGGTGGCAATTTGCAAATCAGGTGCACCAAACAGCAAGTTCAGACATAAAAAATATAGCTTGGCTTTATTCCCAGACCATCTCTGTAAATATGGGAATTTGGTTTGCTTGCACTGAGTTCCACTTTCCTTTTAAACCACATTCTATTTTTCAAGAGACACATGAGGCACTTCATATACTTAAGCAAACTAACCGGAAGTACCGTATTTTTTGCCCTATAGGACGCACTTTTCCCCCTCCAAAAATGAAGGGGAAATGTGTGTGCGTCCTATGGGGCGAATGCAGGCTTTCGCTGAAGCCTGGAGAGCGAGAGGGGTCAGTGCGCACTGACCCCTCTCGCTCTCCAGGCTTCAGGAAGCTATCCGCAAGCCTTGGGAGCCCGCGGGAGTTCCCGCCGGGCTCCCACGGCTTGCGGAGAGCTGCCTGCATCCCGAAGCATTCCCCCCCCCCCAAAAAAAAACTAGGTACGCCCTATGGGCCAGTGCATCCTATGGGGCGAAAAATACGGTAATACCCACCTTTACTAAATTAAAAAAATTCCACACTCTGCCTACCCATAAACTTGTGTGTTTCATTTAATGCTTTGGACAATCTGAATTACAAACCAGACTTTAACTTCCGAGAAATATGGGACGGCCATTGTTCCTTTATCCCAGAATACTATGTGTGTAATCTGATATCTGTAGCACCTCTATAGGTTTTATTTCAGACCGCAATACCATCTGGGAACTGAGTTTACAAGGTGGCCCCATGGCTACAACATCCAGACTACTTTTTGTACTTTTTTCTTTCTTTCCTCATTTCCCTACTCCAATTTGCATAATATCTTGCCTGAGGAAGAGATGCAGAGAACTTAAAAATTTAAAAGTTTCATAACATTTTGGTGTTTGAATTTATGGTCCAACAGTGGATTCTGGATTTCTATTCTTATGGAGTAGTTCTAGAATAAAATGTCACCCGCTTACAGCCTTAGCCTCTGAGCACTTCCCATCTTTGTTTATCCATGTGCTATATATGGCACATAGGCTAAGGTTACCAGACGTCCCCATTTCCCGGGGACAGTCCCCGGATTTACAAATCAGTCCCCATATAAAACCCATTGAAGTTGAAAAGTGTCCCCGGATTCATTGAAAACAATCTGGTAACCTTAACATAGGCCACACAAAATAAATAATGCTTTGCACAAGCATTCATTTTGTGCAGCTTATGTGCTAGGGTGGATATATCAATGGTTAAGAAACAATTTAAAAAAACAAAGGTAGCCATAAAAAACTCCAAAATACAGTTGGATTTTGATTAACATACAGCTACTGTTGCTTATCCAATTGGCACATGTGTACTCTTTAGGAAAACAGGTAATGTATAAAAAGAAAGAGAAAGGGTCAGTAGTAGAGCACATACATTGCATGCAGGAGATCCCCGTTTAATTCCTAGCATCTCTAGGTAGGGCCAGGAAAGATGCTTGCCTGAAACCCTGGAGAGCTGCTACTAGGCAGCACAGCTAATACTGAACTAGGGTTGCTTCCAGATGATCTGTTTATTGAGTATTCATTCTGATTTGTTTGCAGGGAGGTTATATGAGTGCTTCAAGCAATTGTTGTTCCACCCTTCCCAGGGCATTTCCCCACCACTTACCAATGGACGGGGTGAGTCTGTTGAGCAAGTGTGTCAAATGGACTTTAATGGTACAACCCAGATTTGCTGGTATGCAATTGAATCTCACTTGAAATTAGTGACAGCCTGGAAGGACCAAAGGTCTGACTCAGTACAAAGCAGCTGCCTACAGTACATAGAAATTCTAAAGCAAGATCTACCAGGATGCGTGGGTTAGGATCTAGCAGATCTCTGGCTGAAGTAGGAAGTTCTCAAATCATCATAGCCCTTTGAGAATTTCCTACTTCAGCCAGAGATCTGCTAGATCCTAACCCACTAAATCAACTCCCCCATCCTTTGCTCAGCAATATTTATGCCAGAGTATCCCCCTTATCCTGGCTCAGCCAGGAACCAGGTGACTGAGCCAAGGCAAGCTTGGCATATCTTAAGCCTGCATAAGCCCTAGAAGAAGGGGTTTTCCAGGCATGGGTCCAAAGTAGGAGGACTGAGGCTGGATCCTATTCCTGTTCAGCTTGGTGCAAGATCTGGCAATGTAGTATAGGTCAAACACTATTTCCAAGGCTTATTTTCCCTCTGCCAGTCTTAGGCTGGTTTAGCTAGCAGTAGCTCCATTGCTAAATGGAGTTTGGATCTGGTGTAACTTTACACTGGCTTAAATTTGCACCGTCTTCCTTTATGACAGCTTCTTGTGTATGGGATTATTCCATTATGTACTTCATGTTCTAAACTAGAATATGCTTTAGTAGTTAAAACAAGGGGGCCAACTTAATATTATTAAGTACACCCAGGTGAAGTTTTTGCAGTCCATTAACTAATGTAGTCCATATGGACTTGGCAAAGACTTCATGTACAGCCCCTAAAAAGCTTTATATACCAGCAAAAAGCTCGACTTATTTTTATGAGGTATCGGGTAGCTTCGAGAGTTAAACCGAGGACACCATATTACATTAGGAATGTTAGGAATTTGCATTGATAGAAAGACATACTTGAGGGCCCTGGAGGGAGGAAAAAGTGGTAGAACAGCATGAAGTGTTATAATCACCGGTAACACTTAGTAAAGTTGTACTTGGCTACAGTACAATGAATGAAGCGGCCATGCCTCTCCTACTCCTTTAGATTAATGAACTAATAAAGAAATGTCCATCCAAGGTCAAAACGCCTTGGTAATATCACTGAACAAAAACAAAACTAAGGTTTGATTTTTAATATAAAATGACACAAATGGTTCTCAGTTATGGTCGCCCTACTGAATTATAGAGAGGTATGTGTAAGTTGAGTCGGACACGACTAAACTACTAAACAACAACAATGTGTAAGTTATTTAAAATAGGTCAACTCCCCCCCCCATAAAAAACACACACACCCAAGGAACACCCTGGTACCCTAGAATTCACGCAGGATGCGTGGGGAACCTGTTAGAGAAATAGAACAAGTTTCCTGGTTTCTCGCGAGGTTTAAAAATAGAGCACAAACAGAAAAAGAGAAAGGTAAAACGAAACACACGAATTGCCAGGGTTTACTGGCTCCCTTCTAGCTGAGGCTTTCAACCAAACTGAAGAGGATTCGATTGGAGTGGGATAAGACTGGATTGGGCCGGACTGACTCCGGAGAGAAAGAGAAAACGAAAACACACACACTCACTCTTTCACACAGAGACGCTCACTTCTGCTTGGAGTAAAAGGGAAGTGCTTTTTACATTTATTTATTTTTAATGAGGCTTCTAAACGCTCCACACATCTTTCCCAGCTGCTCCCCTTCCTGTTCACCTTCTAAGAGGCGCAGGAAACATCCACCTCAGCTCCAACGACGCCCTGCTCCGTCGCAGGTTTTCTCTCCACACAGACACCTAATTCACAAGCCCCGCCGACTCACCTGAGGGAAAGGAGCAGCAGCAGCAGCAGCAGCACCGGACACCGGCCTCCCCCAGGGAGAGGCGACTACCTGTCGGTCCTCTCACTGCCGGCACCACCACCACCTCCTCCTCCCGACTCGACGCTCCTATCCGCTGCCGCCGCTTCTAGAGGAGCCCAGGCCTCAACAGAAGCCCCGGAGTGGCGTAACGCAGGCATCCGACGCCGGCGCCCCGCTCGGCCGGCAGGGCGGCCCGCGTTCCGACCGCGCGCGCCCTCCTCCTCTTCCTCCTGCCGCTGCTATTGCTCTCGCCTGGGAAAAGCGGCTAGGAGCAAGTAGATTCCGCCGGCGGCCACCACCAACACCGCGACCGCCCGCCGCCGCCGCTTCCTACTCGCAAGCAAGCAAGGCAGCGCGGGCAATGAGAGGAGGAGGCGGCCGCCGCTGGCGAGGGCTGGCAGGGAGCGCCCGAGTTAGGCAGGGAGGAAGGGCGACTGCGGCATCCTCCTCGAGGACTCTCCTCTGACTGTGGCGGCGCTTGATCTCCGAGATTCCCTACAGCCGCTCCCGCTTTCCTGGAGATCTTAGCTCTAAGATCCTCCTCCTGCTGCTGCGCCTGCCGCTGCTTGCTTGCTGGCTGCTCCCTTCCCAGTTCGAGCTCCCCCTGCTGCTGCTGTGTGCGAGGCACCGGCTGGGCTACACACAGTGTGGGTCGGCGGGCTGCTGCTGCTCCCCCCCCCTCCACCGGCAGGCGAACAAACAAACAAACAAAAAGCAAAGAAGTGGGAGGGTGGAGAAAACAACAACAACAAGAGCAAATGCAAACTGTCCCTCGAGGCACATTTGGGGATTGCCGCGACTGCTACTTGTCGTTCTCCCTTACTTGGTCTCCGGCCAAACAGAAAGCGGAAAGATGATCACCTCTTCTTCTTCTTCCTCCTCCTTTTCCTCCTCCCTTCACCTGCCTGGCCCCCGGGTTTTTCTCATCGGAGGTCTTCCCTGCATGCAAATTTTCCTTGGAAGGACCAGTGAACCTGTGCAGGGGCTTCAAGAGTTCTTGCAAGCAGCCGCAGCGCAGTTAGGCCAAGTCACACCACCTACTGGCTTCTTTTGCAGCGCAAGCCGGCCCTCGAAAAGTCTCTCTGCAAAGTGCCTTCTCAGCAGATACTTTTAATTGCACAAGGCATGAACATTCCCAGAAAGCAAAACAAAAAGAAAAGGGAGGGCAGTGCAAAGCAGCAAGATCACCGCGTGAGTCACAGGCGCGATATAGGAAGGAGAAGGTAAATTCTCAAAAATATTCTCTAAATGTTCAAAAGGGTCAGGCAGATTAGATACCGCAAGAAAGTAACCTCGGGAGCAAGAGTCCAAGTCACACTTGAAAGGGTTCTCTCCAGTAAGATGTTTTTTTAAGGATTTAGGAATGTTCTCTCCCAACAAACCACACGCAACCAACAATCTACCTTTCCCTTCTAATCAAGATGTAGCACCAGAAAAAACAAGCAAAAACTTGAGAAGCTGATAAGGGTTTCGCCATAAGAATTTTTGCAAATGAGAATGCTTAAGCACTGCCTTGTCAGAAACAAGTTCTAGCATACATATTCTTAGCCCTACAGGTGGCTTGTAAACACAGAATTTTCCTTCATGGGTGGTTTTGTTGTACAGACCCATTCTATCTGATGCAAGAGAAGTCATATAACTAGTTACAATAGAGAATATGGGTAGCTACATTGCACTTTAGAGTACTGTATTCAAACCGTATCACATACTGTATACTATTCCAGCAATTCTGAAACCCACTGTGTAAAGTAGCTAGATATTATCCCTCAGTATTTACAGATGGAAAAATGAAAGCTAAGAGCTAGTGGTTTGTCTGAGACCCCCTAGTGAATTGTGGCATGACTGAGTTGTGAAGAATAGGTTGAATAAAAAGAGCAACCCAAGTTGGACTGTGCTCAGACTGAAATAATGTGTGTGAAAAGCTATGGTGGCATGTAGGCCTTTTGTTGAAAATAATTGTCATGGCCAGTGTGAAATAAAACTAGGTATTCTCAACTATAAATAGATTTTTTGGGAGTAATATAACAAAAATAACGCTGAACAATATGGATGGGAGCAGCTTAACAGGATGTCTTTTGTTGATTTTTTGGGGGGGGGAAGATGGCAAAAGTTAGGGACTTGGTGGTATTGATTCACTTTGGAATGCCTTTGAATGACTCTCATTGTTTTGATTATTTTGTGGTTTTGTCATATTAATACAGTAGCTTCCCCTGTCTTTCAATCCAGCTGTGTTTGATCTTTGTGTTTTATGTGAATACTGTAGTGGCAATTGCTTCTTCTTTTCTAAAATACCTGTGCATATTGTGCCTAGGTATAGTGTTATAGCTAATACGGGGGCGGGGAGGGGAGCTAGAAGTGATGTGAAATTCATTACAGTGGCACCTCGGGTTACATATGCTTCAGGTTACATACGCTTCAGGTTACAGATTCCACTAACCCAGAAATAATACCTCGGGTTAAGAACTTTGCTTCAGGATGAGAACAGAAATCGTGCTCCGGCGGCGCAGCGGCAGCAGGAGGCCCCATTAGCTAAAGTGGTGCTTCAGCTTAAGAACAGTCTCAGGTTAAGAATGGACCTCTGGAATGAATTAAGTACGTAACCAGAGGTACCACTGTATTGCACTTTCAAACAGTAAGACACATGGCTCGGGTGCACTGCAGGCACTGTGGTAAGTGCTGCCCCTGCAGTAAGTTGCCATCCAGTATGCCCCCCAGCTACACTAGTGGTTTGAATCCAGTTTATAAAAGAATGGAACGTCACTCATGTGGTGGGGCTTTCCCTTTTTTTTTTTAATAAATTTTTATTGGTTTTCCAAACACAAAAAATAAGAACAGACAATACACAATACACAGACATACAAACATATAAACATATATAACTTCATAGTCTTATTTTCATACACCTTACTTCCCGGACTTCCCCATACCTTCCCTTTTCTGCATCCTTGTTTTACATTTCTTCAGCAACTCCTCCAATTAACTAATTAATCAATTCAATTTCTTTTAAATTCTTCCTCAACTTATTGATTACAGCTGCAATTCTCTATTTCCCAATTCCTTGACATCTTAACACTCCTCAATTTTACAACAATTTTTAAGATATATTTTAAATTTCTTCCAGTCTTCTTCCACTGTCTCTTTCCCCTGGTCACGGATTCTGCCAGTCATCTCCGCCAGTCCCATGTAGTCAATCACCTTCGTCTGCCATTCTTCCAGCGTGGGTAGTTCTTGTGTCTTCCAATACTTTGCTAAAAGAATCCTTGCTGCTGTAGTAGCATACATAAAAAACGTCCTATCCTTCTTTAACACCAATTGGCCTACCATGCCCAAGAGAAAAGCCTCAGGTTTCTTAGGAAAGGTCCTTTTAAGGACTTTCTTAATTTCATTATAGATCATTTCCCAAAAGGCTTTAATCTTCGGGCAGGTCCACCAAAGGTGGTAGAAAGTACCTTCAGCCTCATTACATTTCCAGCATTTATTATTGGGCAAATGATAAATTTTTGCAAGCTTGACTGGGGTCATGTACCACCTGTGAATCATTTTCATAATATTTTCTCTTAAGGCATTACATGCCGTGAACTTAACACCGGTGATCCATAACTGTTCCCAGTCAGCAAACATAATATCATGACCGATGTCTTGTGCCCATTTGATCATGGCTGATTTCACCGTTTCATCCTGTGTATTCCATTTCAACAGCAAATTATACATTCTTGACAAGCTCTTAGTATTGGGTTCTAACAGTTCTGTTTCTAGTTTTGACCTCTCCGTCTGGAAGCCTATTTTCCTGTCCTGTTTGAATACCTCATTTATCTGAAGGTAATGAAGCCAATCTCGTAGTTTAGGCTTTAATTTCTCATAGCTCTGTAGTTTAATTTTTTCACCATCTTGCTCTAAAATTTCCCAATATTTTGGCCATTTTAGACCCCATATTGAGTTTTTTCACTTCCCTAGCTTCCATTGGTGATAACCACCTGGGAGTTTTACTTTCCAATAAATCTTTATACCGCATCCAGACGTTATATAATGCTTTCCTGACAATATGGTTTTTAAAGCCTTTATGCATTTTTACCTTGTCATACCATATATATGCATGCCAACCAAATCTGTTGTCAAACCCTTCCAAATCCAAAATGTCCGTGTTCTCAAGAAGTAGCCAATCTTTCAACCAGCAAAAGGCTGCCGATTCATAGTACAGTCTTAAGTCCGGCAGGGCAAACCCCCCTCTATCTTTTGCATCAGTTAATATCTTGAATTTTATTCTGGGCTTTTTGCCCTGCCAGACAAATTTAGATATGTCTTTCTGCCACTTCTTGAAACAGTCCATCTTGTCCACAATCTGCAATGTCTGAAATAAAAACAGCATTCTAGGCAATACATTCATCTTGATAACAGCAATTCGACCTAACAAGGAAAGTCTCAACCTTGACCATATATCTAAATCTTTCTTTACTTCTGTCCAGCATTTGTCATAATTGTCTTTAAATAGGTTCACATTCTTAGATGTTAAATTTACCCCCAGGTACTTCACTTTCTTTTCTATCATCAAACCTGTTTCACTCTGAAACCTCTCTTTTTCAATATTTGTTAGATTTTTCTCCAAAACTTTAGTTTTCTGCTTATTCAGTTTAAATCCTGCTACTTGACCAAATATTTCAATTAATTCTAAAACTCTTTTAGTACTAGTTTCTGGCTGTTGCAAAGTCAATACTAGGTCATCTGCAAATGCCCTCAATTTGTAATGTTTGGCTCCGACCTGAACTCCGTTAACCAGCTGGTCCCCTCTAATCATATTTAACAAAACCTCCAAGACCGAAATAAAGAGTAAAGGGGATATTGGGCATCCCTGTCCTGGTGGGGCTTTCCTGGCTCCTTTACCCCTACCTCCCCCACAACTACGTCTTCCCAGAGCCGCTCCTGAAGGTCGCTGGACCGTCTGGAACTGTGGGGGATGGGGCACAATGGGCTCCAGCAGGATGGGAAAATGGGAGGAATTCAGGATGCTGTCTTGTGGAAGTGCTTGATCATCTGTCTAAGACATCTCTGGATCAAAGCCATAGTATTACGGCTGAGTCACTCACTTGCTGTTGGAAGCATTCCTGCGCTGTATATATTACAGTACATATACATTGGTTTGCTTTCTGGCATATCGTTTCCTGTGCTGGACATTCCTCTTCCCTCGCGTGGAATGATGCACAACTATTGCAAACAACCAGGGCTGAGTGTGAGTGCTGGTCATTTGACGACATTTTATTTGAAGACAGTCAAATATTTCATGAAGGTTCAAGAATTGACCTGGTTTCCACTTTAAAAAGTTTTTATAGATATCTGTGCTGTTTGTTTGGTCGTTGCTGTCACTTGATTTCTCCCTTTAATATGGTAACTATAGACACTCTTGGATGTTCCAGGATAAAGAAAAAATTAAAAAAAGGTCAATTACTGTATATAGACTATACAGTCATACCTCTTGTTACGTTCGGTTCAGGTTGCGTCTTTTCAGGTTGCGTCCTGCGGCGACCCAGAAGTAACGGAATGGGTTACTTCTGGGTTTCACCGCATGCGCAGACGCTCAGAATGATGTCACATGCATATGCAGAAGCGGCGAATCGCGGCACGTACAGACATGGGTTGCGTTCTGCTCATGATGTGAACGGGGCTCCGGAACGGATCCCGTTCGCAACCAGAGGTACCACTGTAATTTCTATGCTGCTCTTTGACATAAGACCCTAGGGCAGCAACAAAACCCCAAAACAATAAACATAAAGCACAGTAAGATCATCAGCAACCTGTCCGTTTCCTAATACACAAGCCTGAACCTCACCTTTAAAGGGGCTGAACAAGGAGGTGATTGTTCAACTGGAGCCTAGAGCCAGCCAAACCTCTGGAGAAAGTGTGTTCCACAACCAGTGCACTGGGCTGAGACATTCCTCCAACGGGTCATCAGCTCTCAGGCTTCATTTTGCACTGGAACTCCCCAGCAGATCTGAAGGCAAGAGGGGCTCCCTCTGGCAATCATATTCCAAGCCGTTTAGGATTTTATACAGTATGTCCAAACCAAAATTAGGTCAGTAGTAAATAGCTGTTCCTGTTTTATCTGCAAGCCGCTTTGAGGTACCCTTCAGGGGAAAAGGTGGGGAATAATAATAATAATAATAAGCCTGTGCCAATCTTTGAGGACCAAATATTATCTGGTCTCTAGGCATAAAACCCAACAAGATTCCGA